AACGTCAATAAAATGCCAAATAATCATACGTAACTCGTTAAATATCGAAGTTAGAAGGAAAACAACTTTTATTTGAAGCATTTTTCGCAATTTTGGAAAAAAAAATTTTCGTCAGCGTCAATACTTAATTGGATATTTCCTTCTATACTTTTTAGCACGTAGCTATTTATTATTAGCATTATTCTTCCGACATCTGATTTCTTTTTAATTATAGGAAATGCGTTTTTCTAAGGTACATAAACTTTTGGGATTGACTGTATAGCCAATACATCCTTAAACAAATGCTCAAGGCGATCTTAAATATAAGTAACGACTCTGAATACCGACCTTGGTTTTGCGCCGGTCGTCGGTCGATCGACACGCGCGGAAAATCGGGTAGACGGGGAGTAGACTGTGAGCATCGTGTGCTGTCAGACCATTTATATATTGGCTTATATAATTCTAATAGGCATCGGCAGATTTTCTCAACTATTCATAAGCGATCAGTGATTCAGTGGCGTTTCGCGTTTCGCGTTCCTCGCTTCACTAATCTCATAATTACATCAAATTTCTATCCTATGATTAACAAAAGTATCGACGAACAAATCATAATACTGTACGGTGAACAAAAGTGGAAGGATATAGTCGATTTAAATTTGAATTCGTATAAATTTGATAAGGGCAGACTGTGTTGGGTGCTGCCGACCATTAACGATTTACATTGGTTGAAAGAAGTAATCGATGAACATAACGTGGGTGGTCTTGCGAGCATAGGATGCGGATGTGGTCTGTTCGAATGGTTGTTTCAAAAGTATTCCGGTAAGGAGAAACGTAATTTTATATTTTGGCCATTGATCAGACGTGTCACGTGAAAAAACGAGGACGTTTAATTTGATGTTTGATTAAGGATCAGAAGTGATCGGCGTGGAACTTGATCGGTCATGGTGGCGGAGCAAATACTCGCCACCCGTGTTCTTGACCGACGTCATTTTTGTGCTCGGAAACGAGTCGAACGACCGTTTTCTATCGGGAAAGTACGCCCTATTATTTTGTTACTTCAACAATGGAGCAGCATTTCGCGATTACATTGAAAATTACAAAGGGAATCTTATTCTCGTGATTGGACCGAAACCGGGCGAGAATCGTTGGACGGATCCGATGCCGTTCGACTTAAAAAAGTTTCATGACCACGGCTGGAAATTGACCTGCGAAAGAAAAATGGAACGTACGAGAGACTATATTACCGCTTATACCAAAATTTGATCCTTCCTTCGTGTACTAATCATATTTCACATGTGTACATTTTGTAAATACAAGCAGATTCTATGTATTCAGTGGATTCGAGCGCTCGATCATTTTCCCCCTTGAATCTTTCCAGCGGCAGTGATTCGAGTTGATCCGCGATCTGCACTCCCTCTACGCGAGAGAAATCAACGGACCACCGCATAATTCTCGTCGAGATGTTCTCTCAATGATCTGTTACCAGAATTTAAAACGCTAGATCCGAATGTAATCTCGTGAATAATAGAAATATAGAACATATGTTTCGGGCAAGTAATTTTCTCGTTAGATCTTATAATTAAACTGCAGAAACAGAGGTCAAAGGGACGGATGTATACGTATATGTATAGAGCAAAAATAGAACGGGAATCAGCATCGCGAAATTTTCGTTCAAATTACTCGTGCATACGGCTTGGCCGAGCAAGAATTAGTTTTAGTCTTAACCACGACGAATCAGGCTATTTATATCCGTTTATTAGAGTTCATCTTGCGCGACATATCTAAAAGCGAACTCTGCGCCGTAGGTATGCTGGTCTACCATTCGTCTGACGTCCGACTATGACAAGAAGGAGAATGCGCAGATAGAGCACAGAGTACAGTACGGGCAGTAGCCGCAGTAGGCAGTACGGTGTCACACGATTATACAGTTCAATGAACAGAGTAGAACGTGAAATCAGTACGTAATGAGACGTGATTAGTACAAAGTTCTGAAGGCAATTAGTCGTACACGATTCCAGAGATACTCAGAGAGAGGGAAGATATAACTGAAGGAATTCAGTGCCGGACTCGTAAACTCGAAATAGTAGATACTACTTGTACACAGCCATAAGAGAGGCCGCTGGGCGTTCTTCAGTTGCATCATCGAGTTTGAATCGTTCGTTGGAGTAGCATGTCATAACCGTTTTCTGTGTGTGAACGCATCTTCCTCTCAGTCAGTTGATTACGAACTTTCACCGAGATCGATCTTCATTTGAAAATGGTAAGACGTTCGTCGTCAAAACGGTGAGAGCCGGACTCGAAAGAGTAGGCGAGGTGCAGTGTGAGAGCGAGGAGAGTGAAAAAAGAGAAAGATCGCTTCTCGTTGTCAGACAGATAGAAAGAACCGTTTTGTTCACTCGTTGTTTCAGCGCGAGTGTATATCCATTCACGTCGGGCAAGCTGGTGTTCAAATTGGAAACGCTTGTTGGGAACTTTACTGTCTGGAACATGGAATACAGCCGAACGGACAAATGCCATCCGATAAGACGATCGGCGATGATAGCTTTAGTACCTTTTTCTGCGAGACAAGTGCCGGGAGACATGTACCCAGAGCAGTGTTCGTCGATTTGGAACCCACCGTAATCGGTAAGCAAGAATGCAGCGCATCGCGCTTTACCCGCTTCCTGCATCGATTCTTTGTCGTTCGCGAGATTCCCTGCTGATGACAGTGCAGCTCAGCTACCGCTACCAGTACAGCAGTACCGGCAGTACAAACGATCGATATTAACGTCGAACGACAAGGAGAAGGACGATCAGAACGAAGAGTCCAGGCAGACTCGGATAGTTCTAAACGGTTGCTGTTTTTTTTTTCGTAGACGAAGTCCGTACCGGAACATACAAGCATCTGTTTCATCCGGAACAATTAATCACCGGGAAGGAAGACGCGGCAAACAATTACGCTCGCGGTCATTACACGATCGGGAAGGAGATCGTCGATCTGGTAATCGATCGAATACGCAAACTGTCGGATCAATGTGCGGGATTACAGGGATTCCTAATTTTTCACTCGTTCGGCGGCGGTACCGGTTCGGGATTCGCTTCCTTGTTGATGGAACGTCTCTCCGTTGATTATGGGAAAAAATCAAAATTGGAATTCGCGATTTATCCGGCTCCGCAAATTTCCACAGCAGTTGTCGAACCGTACAATTCCATTCTCACTACACACACTACTCTCGAACACTCAGACTGCGCTTTCATGGTGGACAACGAGGCGATTTACGATATTTGCCGACGTAACTTGGACATCGAACGACCAACTTATACCAACCTTAATAGACTGATCGGACAAATTGTTTCTTCGATAACGGCTTCGCTGCGTTTCGACGGAGCCCTCAACGTAGATCTGACCGAGTTCCAGACGAATCTGGTTCCTTACCCACGAATTCACTTCCCTTTGGTCACTTATGCCCCGGTAATATCCACGGAGAAGGCGTATCACGAGCAACTTTCAGTTTCGGAGATCACGAACTCTTGCTTCGAGCCAGCCAATCAAATGGTGAAATGCGACCCCAGGAACGGCAAGTACATGGCCTGTTGCATGTTGTACAGAGGAGACGTCGTTCCCAAAGACGTGAATTCCGCGATACAAGTAATTAAAACGAAACGATCGATACAATTCGTCGATTGGTGTCCCACTGGGTTCAAAGTCGGTATCAATTATCAACCACCCACCGTTGTCCCGGGCGGCGATCTGGCTAAAGTACAACGCGCCGTCTGTATGCTGTCCAACACGACCGCCATCGCCGAAGCATGGGCGCGCCTCGATCATAAATTCGATCTGATGTTTGCCAAGAGAGCCTTCGTTCATTGGTACGTGGGCGAAGGTATGGAGGAGGGCGAATTCTCTGAGGCTCGCGAGGATCTTGCCGCTCTCGAGAAGGATTACGAAGAAGTCGGATTGGATTCGGTCGACGCAGAGGATGAAAACAACAGCGCCGAATACTGACATTAATACTCGCCTCCATCCCTTTTCGAAATCCACGCACCGATGTATATACATAGCACATGATGTATACCTACCTAGTATACCTAAATACCTACGCGTGAACATTGATCGTAAAGCGCAACGAGAGATAGGGGAGCGGAAGGGAGGGGGTTCGTCAGAATCGAAGTCGAGAAACGATCGGAACATGCGACATGCAAGTTTCGCGATTCCTTTTTTTCTCTCGTCGATCATTAAATACTTGTAGATGTACACACACTTCATTTTCAGTTGTTTCTTATCACTTAGCTTCGTTTCTTTTCTCTTGTTTTTATTGCATTACACAAATGGGGCTGGGGAGGCAAAATTAAATAGCGGATTAAATAGTTCAGCGCGACGCTTTAACAAATTAAAAACGTAAAAACATTAACAGTACAATATAGTTTCTTATCGTAGACGTAATGCGATGGCAGTCTTGAGTCCTGGAAAGATGCTGTGATTGTTGCACGGTTATTTCAATTTTTCTTAATTTTTGCCTTCTATCCTCTATATAATTCCTATTTCCTATGTTCCTTATTTTTTCCTCTTCTCTTCCTTACATCATTCATTTTTTATCATTCGTCTTCGGTATATGTACTTTTTAATTCGCTTTGCGATCTCCGACTCTTCTGTCTCGCGTTAGAATCTTCGTTCGATAATATTGTTCTTTTATTTGCGATAAGCTTTTGCTCGTGGCAGTGTCTGAAAAAAGAAAACAGTAAAACAAATTTTAATAGATTGCGGCTGGCGCGCATTTTATGTTACGCGAATAAACGGCGAATCGCACGCATGTTCGAACAATACACGCGATCTCGTCTGACCGACGACGATATAGCGCATATACCGTCGAAGCGACTATGATTCTATCCGCCTACGAGAGATGAGTACTAAATTTGCTGCGTTTCTATGCGTATTACACGGTAGCGCGTCGGCAACTCCTCTACTCTAACAATAAGGATGAAAAGAACGAAGAAAGAGAGACCACCTCTTGGCATAAAAAATCTTCAGCCTACCTTTCTTCGAGCATCCCTTTTCCTAGTACAGTATTTCCAGACGGTACGGTAGTGATTGAGGGTAAATGTCGCGATGTAATCTAGCTCGAGCGAACGGAAACAGCCGGGTCTACACAACTTTATTATAACCGTCGTACTTTTATTAATCTCTCGCGCGATCACTCGTACGGGATACAACACAGGATGGTACACAACGTGTCATGTTCACCAAACGGAAGTAAAACGAATTGTAAAACAATGAATCAAGATAATAATAAACTGAGTGCGAATAAAGATATCAGTTGAAATGCTGTTTCTTTGACATAACATAATAACATGTACGTCAGGATACATAATAAAAAGAAAAAGAACATATGCCGGTAGGATACGTACCAAAGTTAGGACTACCTACGCCTCGGCAGGCTTCTTCTTCTCTTTCTTCTTCTTTAGGAAAGACGGTGTCCTGAGGCCTTTCTTCTTCTTCTTTTCCTTTTTCGGTGACTCCTCGCTAACGCTCACATCCTGCGACACGGAACCCTTAACACGGAAGGTCCCAACCGTAACCATAAACCTTTCTGCATGCACATGCAACTGGCCACCACTCTTCTCACTGTTAGCTCTATCACACGCACTCGTTCGACGTGCGCGTACGCCTGCTGTTCCTCCGCGATTTCTTTTGTCTTTTTTAAATTAAAACTTCGCTATAAACGTGCGATCAAATAACGTTATATATAAATAAACGCGTACGCGCGCGTCGTCCCGCCTCTCTCGCCTGTTAGCATTCTGCGTGATCTTTATGTATTTTTCCTGTCGATGGTACTTGATTTGGCCATCCTTAGATTCATGCAAGCAAACACTATTGGCGTACTAGTTTATTCCTAGCGTTATCTCACGGTTAATGATAATGAGAAAGCAGCGTTTGTACGCGACCAACTCGATAACTGAAGATGAGAGATGGATGCCAAATTTATAGGTAATTATTTCGAGATGAAACTACCCTGGAAGATTATTTCAGACGAGTGTAAAAGTGTATGAATTATCCAATATGATTGTACCAGTACCGGTGCCGATAGTTCGTTAGATGCTCTGTTAACAGAAACTATGGATATGCGATTCCATCCCTTTACGAAATATCGATATGAAGATACGCGATCTTAAGAAGAAACGTTATGCACTCCGGCTGCAGCGCGTGTATCAATATTTCATAAAGCGACATTTAACCATGTGTCCTCGAGTTTACGTAGAAATGCGATCAAATGAAACTCGAGGATGTCTTAATGTTTAAATAAGAACGGATAACAAACCTCTTTGCTACTCTGAGAAAATGTACTATGATGTGCATCGGAGTGATCGCCGTTTACTGTATTTTCCCCTGGAACATAGAGTGGGATGTGTTAAAAAACTTCCTTGTATCGTTTGGCGATAGTCAAAAAGAACAGAGAGAAGCGAAGGAAGAAGAACCTGAATTAGATATTGAAAGAGCACGGTATGTGTTGAAGCAAAGAAAAAAAGGAAACTTAATCGGGAATAGTTAAGTAAGGTAGTGAAAAGTTCAATTTCCGCTTACCTCGATAACAAGATATAGCGTGTGATGCTTGTTTCCCTTTCGCTTGATTATGAGTGCGAATTACGAGTTACAAGGTAAATGTTACAGAAACGATCGATACAAACTTTAAAATTGTTAGAAGAAACATGTTTTATGCGTCGTCACCATGACGAACATGATTTACATTTCGTATAACATATAATGTTTATGAATTGAGCATAGCACATATTTGTATGAACGAAAGTACGAAATATAATTAACAGAAGGAAGGCAAAAGAAAAATGTGCAAAAACGCAAGGTAAGATTCTAAACTTTGCAGAAACTAAAAAAAAAACTTGTAGCATTGTAATGCTTCTTGATTTGTGTCAGGAATTAGAATTGCAAACGATCAAGAAAAATAAAATAACTTATAACTAATAACAGCGTGCAAGGAAGATCTTTCGCGATTAAGTCACATTTTATCGTGTTAAAGCATTATTGACTAGCAAGCCGCGATTGCGAGTGTTAATCTGCGTCCAATCACATTATAGACTTAAATAAACCGCACCGGAGTAAGCACCGTATCTTTGGAGGAACGAATCTCTGTATTGGAAATGAATAATGTTTGATCGCTTAAGGGACGTATTTTGGGAACAAATGTACTTTTGTCATTTTCTAAGCTACGATCAGACCCGGACGATTCTTTATCGCTTTCGCTCCCATTAGCATCCAGGCATGTATGAGTATCGTTCTGCTTATCTTCTACTTGTTCACTGTCTCCATCGGATCGTTTTCTGTTTCTTCTATGGGCGATAGAGAAGAGTACTCTCTATCACGATACGTTCCATTCCTACAATGAATACACTCGACGCATATCTCGAAAGGTTCAGGAGATTTTACAGTACTGCACAGCTTCGTCAAACTCGTTTCGCTCCCAGAAAAATGGTTCGAATTCATATCTGGTTCCGTGTGATCTCCGGATCGCGCAAGCTTAATAATCTCCACTGTTTCTTCGTACGATCTCTCGATCTGAACGATACTCGAAAAGTTGCTTTTCTCGACTCGAAAATTTAACTCGTACGCTTGGCGCACATCGTCAATCGTCCGTTTCCTCTTCTCTGCAGTACGAAATTCAAGAACAACACCTGTTTCCTCTTCGATCGAATTCTCAAATGGGACGTCTATCGGCGAATCGTTCTTTTCTTCTTCTACCTCGTCTTCGTCCTTGAAATTTTTCTGCTCGCCTCCTTTCAGTTCCGCATTCGTATCATCTTTCATTTTTTTGTCTATCCGAGCATTTCGTCGAGGTTCAGCGCACTCATCGACCACGTGATGAATGAGTTCATTTATAACGAGAACAGAAGATAGACTTCCGTTGTCTTTTTCTCCACACGAAAGATCGTTTATGGTCAGAGACGAGTCGATAGTCGAGGCTCGACGAGAGGATGTGGACGGCAGCGAGTTCCATTCGTCGTTCTTGACCCGAGGAACCGTGTATTCAAGATTGGATGCAGTCATGGAAACTTGTTGCAAAACTTCGTTTGCGACACAGGTGTCATTAAAGTTTAGTTCCGCGATGATTTCGTTTGCCTTATCGCTGATACTGTTTGCAAACTCTCCATCATTCGTTTCAGCGAGTTCGAGCACCGTGCTGCTGTCGCTGGACAGTTCCAGTATGTCTGATCCCTCGTTCGAGCGAGTCTCGCTATCGAACGGTACGTCATTTACGATGGTAGTAGAAATTCGTTCGGGAAGGACATTGGTTTGCTCATGATTGTTCAACATATCGAACCAAATAAAATCGTCGGTACTTACGTCCGACTGAATCGTATCTTCATTGTCGATTTCTTCTTTCGGTGTCAAACTGTAAATCAAATTCATGTACGCGGGATCTATGTTGTACTTGGCCGAAATCTTCGAGTTGAAACAAGGTAAACCGTATACCATCGTCCTCGACGATGATCCTACTTTGGAACTGATACGGTTTATCATTTCGGCGATTCGTTTCATCGAAGATTCGATAGAAACGTTTGATTCGATCACAGTGTCGTTTTTCGCTTCTTCGTCTCCGTGGTTCTCGAGAGAAGATGAAGAAGAAGATGAAACGGCTTTCGTTCCGTTTTCTTCGTTCAAGTAAATTAAATTTGAAACTGGCTCGAGATCTATACGCGTCGTGGATATCGTGGAACTATCGATATCGTTATCGGTGAAAACAATCGGGATGGGAGGAGGATGATACTCAATCATCGTAGGTAGCAATCGCTCCGCTATAATTTCGCTTCTAGCGATTTCAATGTGGGGCTCGGTAACTTGATAATTACAGCGATCACGATCAACGTAAGCTTCGTTCTCAATCTCGTTGTCGCTTTCGCTTTCGCTGCAATACCTGCTCGATGAATCACGATCTGCAACCATATTGTTAAAAAAAAAACGAAAAAAAATACACCATAGCTGTATTTTAATTTTACTCGTTCCTTCGTTCAGCTTCTCTCCACCTCCCGGAGGCAGAAGATATTTCTTTTATGATCACGGATGCTGGCACCTGCGTATTTGACACAACAAAATTCTCTGTTGCCTTATAACTCAAGATTTTATCGTATACACTCACGACCGATGATTACTCGTCACAAGGAATAAAACATGACTATAGGAGACGATGAAGTGTAAAGGTAAAGTGTATCGTAACTTCCGACTGAGCAGCTAACGTGCGTTACGGGTTAAAAATATGATACACGCGAAAAATTCTAGGAAGGAATAATTAGAAAGGAAACAAAATCAATGAAAACAGTAGAGACGATTTTTCGACCTCACGGTTACGAAAACCGTCATGCGAATATACAGGCATGCAAGGTGCAAGCGTTAGTGATCATAAATAAGAGTGAGGAATAATAAAAATGATGGCAGTGAGTGATCGGTGTCGTTACTTAAACACGCAAATCGAACAAAATAATGAAAGAAACTTGTTACATATGTCGTTTGAGAAAAAGCTGTGGCAGAAAACGGGTGGAAAGACGGGAAAAACCCTTTACCCATTGAAACATTCATCGATACGGATTTAAACAGGCCGACCGACAGACTGGCAGGCAAACGATTGAGAACTTACCGTCGCTCAACACAACCTCGGGTTGACTCGGTGCAGGCACTTGTTTCGTTTCTATTCGTAGTACTCGGGGTTCTGTAAAAATTAGACGCATCGCATCGCATCGCAATCAATAAAGAGGAATAAAATAAAAATCAATACCCACCGTCTCTGCTTTCCTCCTCCGTTTCCGACGTCACCGACACCGGTGACTGTATCGGACTTTTGGCAGTGCTCGATTCGTGCGTTGCTCGGCTAACATTGAACGACGACAGTGCTTCCGATTCTGACTGCGATTCGTCGTCTGAAAATGTAGAGAACCGTCTTATGAGACTAGGATTCATTTATAAACTGTAACCGTGGCAACAAATACTACTTACAAATATCTCCTTTCTGTTTGCGTTCCACATCCTTTTTATATTGATCGAGTTCTTGATCGGTAACAGCGTCGAACGGATTTTTGGCGTATGGCGTCTTATAAACCATCGCGTTATGTTGAAAGCCTCTTTGAATAATACCTTTGCTAGCTGCTCCTACCAACACTACTTGTTCTCCCGTTCCACTGATCGTTGCATCCTTTCATAGTAACAGAACGTTCGTTAATATATTGTAGGTAGAACACGTACAAAATAAAGGGCGGCGCGTATGATTCAACAATTTTCTTCCTTCGATCGTCACACGAAACGATAATTAAATTACCTGCATCTTTTTAGCCTCCTCCCATGTAACTCCTTCCAGTATATGAGATTGTGGCCCAGCCGAAATTTTGTCTGCTCGACGGTAATCCTTTATCTGAGCAAACGAGAAAGTAGCTCCAAGCATCGATCAAATACGATCGTACATCCGTTACATTTTCGTATGCCGTTCGAACTTCTCAATTTCAACTTAATAGCAGGAATAAAATTTCATGTTACTTACCTGCTGCTGGATTTGTTTAAATTCCTTTGGATTGGTATTTTTCGGTACAAACTGAAGGGCACAGTCGATCTTCACCGGTGTACTGCTATGGGTCGGAGAGCCGTCTGACACCCACTGCACACAAAACCAGAACCAGTTAGTCGACCCTCGCCGATATTTCGACATCGAACACAGCATTCAAACATCATGTATTTTCGCGTCGTCTGAGTCTGAGCGTCTGCGTATGTTATGTGTGCCTGCTTTCTGCCGGTGATGTCGTCTTATCATCGCGTCTATTCATTTTTTTCAAACACGATTGAAGTAGATACGACCGTCGACGAAATCATTCGAAATCGTTTATTTGACGATGTGAAGAACTCTCAGCTTTGTACGATATCAATGTGTGGAAAAAAGAAACTTAATTCGGCTCTTGCACCCTCCGTCACAACCATTCTCGCCTTCCCTTTCGCTCTTGTTCTCAATCTTAATCTCAGTTTCACTCTCGCTGTCACTCAATGCTCAGAGGGTCGATCGATCTGGTTTTGTAAATGCAGTGGGACAAAAAGTAGAATACCCGTCGCTTCGGCACATTTTAACAGGCACACATTCATACACAGCGTTACGATGTGCTCGTGTCGACCGTAAAAACGGTCCGAGCCCGAAATAGACGTAGCAATGTTAAAATGCCATAAACTCGAAGGAAATGCTCGAGAATAAGGCTATATTGCTGATCGGAACATAAATTTACAAAACGGATGGTTATACTATCGGTATCAATCGGGTTCTCTTTCTTTCGATGAATTACCTGTACAAGATAAACAGTAGACATATATTTATTCATATATCAATAAGCTACAAGAGTCGTTTGCCGACCGATCGAAATATATGCGACAGCATGTGTGTAGTAATATTTATTTGAAACTACGCTTCCAGCTAATCATAAAAGGCGACGAATAAAAATTCAGCGAGTACTTTGCGTTTTTTTTAAATCGGATAACTATTAGTCCGTATTCCCCCTACAACTCTTTCGTTCTCTCTCCCGCTCTCTCTCTCTCTCTCTCTCTCTTGCTCTCTCTCGCCCTTTCTCTCCCCTCATTTGTACTTCTTCCTGTTCCCCATAATAGAGCATACCACCACGACAACGTGAATGTAGTTTCTTAAAAATAATTATAAATTGGAATGTACCAAAATGTACTATAATGTTATTTGCGAAGTCTCCAAACAATTAAGAGGCGAACGATACCGTCGATCAAGCGAAAGAATGCTTCGGATATTCACTTCCTCGTTTTCGTGTAAGATAAAAAAATCCATTAAATCTAAATATACGAGAAGCAAACATCGAACAACATGAAGCAACGCGGCACACCTTATTTTTCCTTGCAACGAATCACGGCGACATAACGTCGCTCGTTTTTCCAAACAACCGTGATAGATAATTATCTTCTAACATTTAACTGTTTAGAGTACTTTTTTTAGAGATTATAGAGATTATAACAACGTGCATGTAAATTGTCCGTAAACACTGATAGCGACTGTTTAGAAGTATCGTTCCTCCATGATAATAGTATTTGCAAAGATCTTGTAAGTTCTAACTGTGCAAATATGTAATTTTTCGTAGTAGCCGATATCATAGAAGCTTGAACGCGGAACGTATCATCGGTGATACGACTACTCATTTTTGTTCTCAAAAGTGATGACTTCTACCTTAGTAATTTTTTTCGGGTCGGGAGTTCCTGTTTCGAGTATTTCGACCTTTTGATACACATTCGGCGAATTTAACCAGCGTGATCTGTCCGTGCCCTTGCGACCGCCTTTCCAAAGTCTGTACACAGAGATGCAGGAGACAATTAATATGTTTGTTCGACGAGCCGTTTGAGGACCTACGCGAGAAACACGCTTACCCCTGTTTATAAAGTTCCTCCTCTTCGAGTAAATATCCTAAAGACGAGACCGCTGGAGGCACCTCGACGTCGTTCCGAGGCCGCGGAGGATCTCCTTTCACCAATGGGTTCCTATATATGTAACCGGTTCGGAAACCCTGTAAGAAACAGATTCATTCGATGGATCACTCAGAAATGGTCGACTGAAATAAACGTGGGAATGAAACAGCGAGAACTTATTTATTCCACTCACCGCGTTATCGAGCATTCGCATAAGCGCCTCGAACTCGGTACCACCGATTCGCCAACGCTTTTCAAGTTTGTCAGTGAGAGCCGTGCTCTCGGGGATCGCGACCGCGTGCTGAGGCGTCGGTGGTTTTCTAGAAGCCTCGAATATAGCTTTCTTAGATTCCTCGGAGATGAGATTTAGATTATCCAGACCGGCAGGCATTAGTTTCAGCTGGGCCTCGCAAGCTAGGACCATGTTATAGACATTGAAGAACGCTTCCTCGATGGTTTCTCCGCAACAGAGAGCACCGCGATTCGTTAACATCATGACTTTGTTCATCGGGCCAAGATTTCTAGCTATCTTCTCTTTTTCCTCCGGTTCGAAAGATCCGCCTACGTATTGATGCGTGCTTACCTCTCCTATCACTATACTCTCTTGTCCAATTGGCAACAGTCCGCACTTCAACGACGAGATCTGTCGATGGGTGGGGGAAAAAAAAAGAGAAAACGAACAATTTTTGTAACGATTCCCATACGCCATGTAACGCTAGAAAATAATGAATCATTTAACACGTACAGCAGTAACGGACGGAGTGGCAATGTGAACGATGCACTTGATATCGGGTCGTGCAGCATGAATCGTTGAGTGCAACTGGAATCCAGCTACGTGAACTCCAAAATTAGTAGTTCCTTGCTCCACGACCTGCCCTTGCATGTCGACTTTGATCAAGCTCGAGGCAGTGACTTCGTGATACAACAAGCCATACGGATTGACTAAAAAATGTTCTTGGTCTTGATTCAAGCGTGCTGTAATTAGTCCGCCCACGCCTTGAGTCCAACCATAGAGATCAAGCAGTCTGAACACCGCTGCCAACTTGCAGCGCAGCAATTTCTCTCCTTTTGCGTAACCCATGCTCTCGACACCACGAATGTCGTTAATGGGCAGTACGCAATTCGAATCTGTTGCGTCGTGTTCGAACAAAATTGATTAAACAATGTTTGAAAAATTGACGAACGGCCGGTGTAGGTGATCAAAGAAAACTTACTTTTAAACACATTCGCGTTGAACCGAGCACCCTGCGCACCCATCATGTCGGATATTTGCTGTAAGAGACCCGAGGGTCCAGCACCGTCTTTCATTTGCGTCTCGATTATACGTTCTAATTCCTCTCGAAAAAGTCGAGAGTTCATCATCATTTCGACTCTCTTCCTTCTCTCCATTTCCCTCATATCCTGTAAACAATTCTGTCCATTTATCCCGCTCTTATCGCGCCCTCGCCTTTCTTTCTTCCTTTATCTTACCGCGTCAATATCGGCAGGCCGCATCTTACTCTTCTCTTCTTCCGTCAAACCGTCCACTGCTCCGTTCGTATGTGGTTCGGACAACGGTTGCTGTTGACTGGTGTCCGCCATCCTGCTGACTTATTACAACCACCGCCGCCACCGCCGCCACCCCCTCCTCCTCCCGCGCCTTCTCTTCCTATTTCTCTTGCACTTTCCTCCCCTGCCGCTGAATACGGACTAAAACAAAATGTTTTCCTTTCGTCGTACAAACGTCCCAGTTTGTTTTCTTAACTCGAGAAAGAAGAACAAAGTAGGAAGGTCATTTCAATATCAGATAATACGATTCTTTGTCGCCAACATGTTCTACCAACGATTAACGATCCGTGTCGGGGCAAATTAACTGCTTCCCAATTTATATTCTCGCAGCTGTCTGCTAGTTATTCGGTACAGTTACACGATACATAGGTAAATAGGTACGTAGGTAGGATACACTTGTATACTGACTGTGGAAAGGAACGCGAGAAAAGCGACAGAAGTCGGCGATCAATAAAGTTGCGAGTAACAGTCGAGCAGCGTAAGGTGCGTGTCGAATGCGTAGCGTAGTCGCGTAGTACAGTCGATACTAGTAGGGGTAACTGACACAAGAATCCCTAGAGCGACTGGAATCGCGGCTATCTTTTTTCAAATTCTTACGCCGCCGTTTATTTATACCTCGACCGTTCCGCCGTTATCGTTCCTTTCTGCTTCACCCTAGTCTCGACGCGTGCACACGCTCTCTCCTCTTCCGCTACACTTGATCATCGCATGATTTTTATAGTCAACACACAACGGAGGCATTATCGCATGAATACGCGGAGAGTAGAAATCACAAAATGAGAAAATCATAATGCAGCGACGAACGTTTCTCGTTGAAAGCTTGATGCCTGCGCGTTGCACGATACATATCGCTGTGTAATAACCATGTTTAATGGCTCTTAACAATTCGGAAGCATATGCTTAACCCAAATTTATACTTCCGTATAGTGGTACAGTCAACATTTCGTCGACGTTATCGAATCCATTTTGTTTAAAGAGCAGGATAACGATTGTGCGCTGGATTACTGCTCGCGTCTAAAGTCTAGAAAACTAATGATTTCGTATAATCGTACCTACACCGCTAGTCGTTACTCGTTGAAGACGAAACGACGGTTGTCTCGGATGAAAAGAAAAACGTTGATAACGAATCATATTGAACCAGCGAGATAATGAACCGAACGCGTATGGCTAAGCGTAAGAGCGAGATATTTAATGCGGCGCGTCCGCTGTTACTTACTCGACGCGATGATGTCATAACTTAAAACGCGAAGCTTACTATCGTTCGTTATTCACTGGGCGGTACATAGCACATGCATACTATATACGTGCCACCGATTAAACCTCTCTATATAACATCACCACATTCTACCCGTTAAATTAAATGACCGAATAGGGCATACGATGTTCCAATGTTCCTCTTGTTTTAATCACCCGACGCGATCCTGAAGGATCGTTGAACGTTACATTTTATTTGACTGTGATTTCTGCTGCCAAGTAAACAAGCAAGAGTAGCTGTAACAATCGAATCGAGAGTCGTGAAAAAGAAGAGAACGCGTTTGCATCGGTGAAAGTAGATGTAGAACTCGGGAAACGATGAACCGACGGACGCGCTCTGTATCCTAAACGGACAGGTGGCAAGCGTGCCTTTTATTCCGTAACTCGAATCGAAACTGATCGTAAGTTTATTCCTGAGCAACGATAGCCGCGACGCACGAGCAACTTCGAGCTGTTAACCGATATTTTTTAAAGAAAAGTTATGTTCATTTAACGCATGTGACCGGTCGAAGCGCACGCACATATCCTATACATACATATACGTACATACTGCTCGTATGGATCGCATCGACATTTTGTTTCCGCTTACGAATTCGATCATAAGGACGTCGAGACGAACTCAGCGTACGGTTATTCGTGCGAATACGCCCAGATGACCACTCGTCGCATGTTTCCCTGCATCCGATTCTGAATACGTATAGTTGAATATCAATTTATAATGCTTAACGAACAAACGGAGTCAACAAATTCGTCTGTATGTACCAAAGACAATGGGAGAATGAAAATTCATTCTGGTCGGACGTCATATCTCGATGACAAGTATTTAACCGAAAAGTGGCATCGATGAATCGATACGTACCGAGTATATACACACATACATACCAAGTGCAAGAGAATCAAAGAAAGAGCCTGACTCGCGTCTAATTTACACAGGCTCCGACACAAATACTTGGCACTGTTACTCGTTTAGTATACGGAATGTATACGCATATATAAATACGCGTATGTACGTTTAGAGTTCGGAACGCCGAAGGATCTCGAGATCGCGGATTCTTCTCATTGGAACTCTCAAATTAAGAGCTTAAAACGAGTCCATCCGTCAATCCTTTTAGTCTCGATCGTCGCGTTGCTTCCACCTCTACCGGCGTACGTCGGTAGAATCAATCTCGTGGAACATCAGGCGAAATGGAGAGATAAAGAGGCCAACTTGGCATTGGCTTCAACGACTTTTGGGTCCGGCTTAATGAACTTTTAACGAGAGGAACGTAGGCGGTATAAGGAAAAAGGGTCACCGATTTAACAATGCAAATGGCGATACGGCACGTCGGGCGAGTAATGGTTTTCAATGGCGTAATTATGACAGCCAGCATTTCGGCAATAATTAATGGGACGCCAGGCTCCGATGCGAAATACTGACGTGAACCGACGAAAAAAATATGATCGAGAACAATCGGGAGAGAGCTATGCAGTCCGACGGTATTTATTTGCAGATACGCACGAAAAAGCATCCAAGATTGCCGCCTAATCGACGAACGACACACCCCTTACGCTACGTCATTCTTGTCAATTGTAAGTAGAGAGAAAAAGAGACACGTTCGTGAACGTAGTCAGTGGCGAGCAGCGTAGCAAATTTCTAAGCGTTCAATATCCGTTTAGATATTATTTGGAAGAACTTACCCAGCGTAAAATCGGCAACTATCGCCGATAGTAGTCTATATATCCGTATCCGTTCGACGAACCGTTGGACTCGCTATTCGTATCACCGAGCGGTCGTTCCGTTCGGTGGACACCTTCCCCGCCCCCGTTGATGCTCTTCCGGCGCGGCGCGGCGGCTGGCTGGCAAGCCTCCTCCTCCTCCACCTCTACCTCCTGATTCTCTCCTGTTTTCACCACCACCACTACCACCACCACACCACAGCTCGTATTCCACCTCTGCACTTCTCCACCACGCTTCCACCACGGCTACGTGCTGCTGTCTTCTTTTCACTTACTTTCCCTGGCCTGCATCCACTCTCAACTTGATCCGATTCCACAGACTCTTCGATCGACCGCGCCTGTTTACTTTACGATCTATTCGGCATTCGGTTCCACTCCCATTGATCCGCAGCTTTTCTACTCATACGATTGATCTTCTGCCGATCATTAGCGTCTGATTCCGTTCCAAACCTACCTCGTTCGCAATCGTTCGACGTATCGTTCCGGTATCGCTCTGGCCCTCGCCGTCGTTGATGCTTCTTGCTCTGTCGCCCTTCTCCTTCTCTACCTTCTTCCACACATCTGCATTCCTGCTTTTTTCCTTTTCAACTGATGATTGCACGGTCGGATCGTTGGATAGGTGCACGAATCCTGCGCACGACACTGCTGCGCAACGGATTTACGAAAGTTGAACGGGGCAACCCAACGAGAAATCGCTTCGTTTGAACATGCAAGAACGAGACTATTGGTCGCTCTTCAACGTGTTCTCCAATCGAAACGTTTGCCTTCTCTGCTACTAGTTACGCGACCAATGGTATACATCGCGTATGATAGTGATAATAGTAATCGCAGGTACCGAAACTCATCAGAAATGTTACATAGATCATGGATCATACGTATCATCACAGGATATATAGGTTTGTCCATTTTCTGAAAGATAAAGCGGGAGACGTGCCATCACTTTCTCCGAAACTCCTCAGATACATCAACATAACGTAGCACGTATTACATGTTACGTGCATGTGCATAGTCATACATACGCACAGTACATAGTACACCATACCCATTCGTGCCGCATCCGCACGTTTGTAAGGTTAACGCGTTAATTATAGCACGATGCGGCGTCATTTTAATATAATTTTCGAATTGTTGGCTTAAGACGTCGAACTCTCGAAACCTCTTACAACTCGTAAATCAACTAAAGATCGAAACAAAACGAAGCGATGTCGGATAATAGAAAGAATTCGGAATCATTAGATGATTTAGATTGGGTTCGTTTTCGCGAGGACTTGTACAAAGGTGTCAAAGTTGAAACGTTCAGTGAAAAGTTTGTACGCAAAGTATCTGAAAATCCTGCAGTACCTTTAGGTAAATTGGAAACTGTAGTGAAATATATTGTAAGTTCAAGAGAAATGAATAGGCATCTCTCATAATAATCGATTCTTTACCATTTCAGGTACTTTGGCCACTGTAATTGCTCTGTCTCTTGGTTTGTACAACTTTCACAAAGGAAATACAGTGATGTCTCAATATATGATGCGTGCTCGCGTAGGAGCACAGGCATTTACTATTTTGTCCATGGTTGCAGGATTTTTACTTGTAGCAAGGAAAGAAAAGATTTAATGTGGTCCATCATTTAGTCGTACGTTTGTCGACTGTCAGGTGACAAGCGTATTAATTGCAATGTTCTCGAGGAACATTTAAATAGGAAGAACAAGTCAGTATGTGAACTGTATAATATTCCGCTGAATAATGCTAAAAATGTACGATGTATAAAAGTTTTTTTTCATTCGGAAAGGATAACATTATACAGGTATAAAAGTCTTATTGACAAAGTACCAGCGTCTCCAAAATTCTATTACCATCATCACTGTCTGTAGTACGACCTTAGACAAAGTTAAGAGTTAGGCATCGAAGAATCGTTCTTTAAGGAAGTTGTCCGCGACAAGGTCAGTCTCGGAAAAGTCGATTCTGTAATATTCGAATGCATTTACAATTTGGCATCTAATAATGCATTTGAACTTGTAGTTACCTCATAAAAATATCACCTGTTAACGAGGTTTCATCGTAGAGAGATCCTTGTTTCTTGTCTTTGCCGTCCAACGAATTGCATATACTCGTATTTGCACTGGGACATTTATCGGAATTCGGCGGTATCTGCTGTAGATTCGTTGCGGCATGTTTCCATCTCGCATGTTCTTCGATGCACTCGGTCAATCGTTGGAACCAGTTGTTCATGTCTTCGCCCGTCTTCAATGTAACAAGATCACGCTTCTCCTTACCATCTATGTAATTAATTATTTGCAACTGGTTCGCAGTCGATTTTGATCGCCGAAGAACAGTGTTCTGAAACACGATAATGTACGAGACCAGTGCCAATTGAACATTGAGAGAAGGGGGTCTGTAACGACGGTCGAAGATGAGTATTCAAATTTTCCGTTTCGCACCTTATCGATGGGAACCATATAGATGGACGCGACCGATTCATTGTGTTCCTCCGATTCTTTGTGTTTCTCCGATTCTTTGTGTTTCTCCGATTCTTTGTGTTCCTCCGATTCCCATGTACTGTTAATTTGAAAAGCTCGCAATCGTGCCCGGCACGTTTTATTATTTACAATTATACATCCTGTGCAAACTTCCTTATCGATGTAATGCGGCCGAACAGCTAAACGACAGCAGAAATGGCCAAACAGCGGTAAAACTTGAACTTTGCTCTCGCAACTATTTAACATTAAATCATGCGAACGTACACTTTCGTTGGTATCGTCGAGATTCATTTTTGCGTGAGCCACTAAATCGAATCGCGGTACTTTGGTCGACTCGTATTCGTCTCGCAAAACTGCTGCGAATTTTCTACCCATAGTCTTCGAGATTGAAGAATGAATGGTTCTCCGGATTCTTCTCGGGGTACTCGCAATGCCGAGATCGTCTTGTAAGACATGACTGTAAACTTCTAACGTCAACTCAAATTCAGCCGGTACGTTATTGAACAACAATACATCGGGAAAACTTATGTCTGTTTGCTCTCTGTCGACGGGATAAATTAAACTGGTGTCCTGAATTTCCGTTCCAACTCGAGCTATACAAAACACAGCGAATTTTCTTGAGTCTCCTCGATTTTTGAAGTGGTCGGAGTCTCTCCACATTAAAGGAAATCGAAGATCCGAGATAGATAATTTCCCGTCGCTATTAGAATTGCTGAAACAATGTTCAATGTCAAATAGTATGATTCTACAATATTAAACATATTTTTCATCTGGCAACGAGTACACCACAAGTGCGATAAGTGCATGTAAGTGCATACCCAGTCCTCGAAGGTTCACGATTCCTCTTTTTATGTAACTCTGCCATATAAATGGACATTCTTTTGCTTGACGTGAACAATGCGCGTGCTGCCTCCAAACATTGTGTTGGGTGCCGCGCAGCGGCTAATAACTTTGAGGAACCTTCTTTAATTTTCGTCTCCAACTCAATTTTTCGCTCTAAATCGTGTTCCTAAATGATTAAACAGATATTTATGGCTAATGTTTTGTGACAACGTCAACAAATAGAAAACATAACCTACAAGTTCGTTTTTAATTAATCTAAATCTAAATCGTGAAAACTTTATAACTTGATTATCTTTGAACAGCAATGATTATCTCTGTTTGTCTGTACTACTAAGAACGTTGTAATTTACAACGATGTTACGAAAGCAAAACGAAAAACCGGTATCAAAGAATGATTCCCATAACGCAAAAAATTTCTACTCACTGCGGCATTTCTGTAATTACGGATACTTTCGCGCCTTCGAACTCGAGCTTGATAATCACTTAAAGAACGGAGATAACCGTTTTCCTTGCCTAAAACGTTGGTTAATGAACCGCGTAACGGTCCGATAGTTTTTCTACGTGGCGCCATTTTGCAATCTGTTGAACGGATTGAACACTGCTCGGTTAGTTTTGCTCCTTTCGTTTCCGATAATCCGAAAACGGTGACTGACGTTTGTACTTCGTACAGAGGCACATATTGATAAGGTATTATCAAATACAGGATACTCATGGAAAGAAGAACGCTAAACAATGTACTTAGTGCCCCAGCCAGTCCGAAATAAAAATAAAACGAGGTAGAAGCGTAAACGCACGGTGAGAAATATTAACAATCTAAAGATAGGTAAAGTTCTGAAAAATCTGAAACTTGTATTTGGTACATAGATATTCACAGAACAGTGAGTAATATACGGGATAATGTATTAAACGAGCTTAGATTTCTTTCATTTGTTATCCTTATCCTTGTCCTTGTCCTTTTCTTTCTCTTTCTCTTTGTCCTTATCTTTGTCTTTATCCTTGTTCTGCTGAAGGGATCCAACAGCTTGACGGACGGCTTCGGAATGGGGGTCGACTCCGGGTAAATTTTCTAACACCGATTGCAAAAACGCCGGATCAGACATGACCGCGGCATAATCTTCCTCGACTTCCATCGCTTCCTCCTTCAGAGATTCCTCCAGTAGTTCTTCTAAAGAATGTAAAAAGAACAATGGAGCATGATACAAACAAGAAACGAGAAACGTGGACAGCTTGATAAATGATTATCGTCATACGTTGATCTTGCATAGACATCTGCATCGCGAAAGCGATTTGTTCCTCTTCGGTCATGCGAGCGAAATCGGGAGCATTCGTGTTAGCGGGAGCGGCGGGGACATTTTCGGCCGTCGAAGAAGTCTTCTCCGATCCCTCGAGCGACATAGCCAGTGCACGCTTCAGCATGGCTTCCTCGTTGTGCACTTCCTTGATCGTTTCCGGTGGCTTGTTCGTAGCCGTTTCGTTGGCTTGTGCACGCCGTGCTTCGTCCTCTTGACGCTGTCGTTGTTCCTCCATGGAAACGCGTAGAGCCTACATAAGACAATAATTTTATGCACAACGAAAGAAACGTTTGTTTTACAAAAGAAAATACGCGCGCGGGAAGACACGAACCAATGCCAATTCCGGATCCTCGTTTGGATCAACACCAAACTCGTAAGCAGACCCTCCCATTCCTGTACCACCCATACCATCCTCCCCTTGTATGATGGGAGAAGAGATCAGTGCATCTGACAAATGCGGTCCTGGCGGGACAGTGACCAAGTGACTGCCCGTTCCATCCTTCCCATTCAAAGTATTGACAAATGCAGTCAGTACTTCGTTGTTGGCATTCTCTTCCCCAAAACTGATCACGTCCACGTTCACTTTCTCCTTCTTCAATCTCTTTGCTAATTTCACAAGTTCTTTCTCATCGATTTCTATTGGACTACCGATAAAGGCCACAATACGCATTTTGTGATTTTTACCTTGACGGTGTTTCAATGCCAACTGTGTTAATGAACAAGCATTATAATTTGAAGAGATTACATTCGCACGCTACATCTTGTGAAACGGCAAAACTCACGTGTGCAATTCTTATCCCTGTGATTAGACATAAATTACCATTTGGCTGGACTTGATGAAGTTTGGAAAGAATTCTGCCTATATCGCTGGTAAGCGTAGCCAGTACTTCGACACTGTTCAGAAAGAAAAAGAAAACATGTTATAGATGAGAAAATGGGATGAGCAAGAATCTTTGATTGACAAATCAGATATAATGAATATTATCATAATTGAGCGTACTTGGCTAGCGTTATCAAGCCAACATTGTTCTCTGGATTCGACCGCGTTTTCGAGTGACAAACCAAGTTAACTGCATCCTGCTGCGCCTGCAGCCGCGTTGGTAAGAAATCTCCATTTCTCATATAATCGCTGTTGTCGACACTATAAATAATACAAAATGTATAAACCGATTTATAAGCTACTCACTACTGGAATTCCTTCGAGAAACTGATCTCTCGGTCGTGTAACCTACAATGGGATTCCTTATAAAAGAAGAATTACATATTCGAATAATACATAGCATCGTTTCTCCTCAATTACATGTTTGAACACCATTTATTAACAGGTTGAATTTTTGTGCTTATCAAGTTTCATTGAAAAATGGAAATTACTACTAGAAATAGATTACGAATTCAACTTTGCACTGTCACTCGCATAGGCCTCTAGAAATCCTGAAAATCTTTGCTATCGGCGGGTTTCAAGTTATAATAGTTGGAAATAAAATTGAAAAAAGTGTTTGGTAAACGTATATCATTCAGGTACATGAAGATACATTTAACAAATACAACAAATAAATGTCAAAAGCTCACCATATCATCGTACTTTCCAGTACCATCTTGGTTCGAATCGCTAAACCATTCTGTTCAGTCGCGTACAGTCAACTTCCTCTGCCCCTGTCCAATTCCGCTCTGTTCCCATGCGTTGTAAGTATATTGTATGTAAGATTTGAGGAATTTCGGAATTAGGAATATTCAGGTTACACGGTTCAGTATTCCACTTACCTACTCTTAGTACTTAAGTACCTACTATTATAGATTTCAGGTATTTAAATTATTTCTCACTATGCCCAACTATTCCTCATAATTGCCGATATATAATAACTTAATAATACAACTTAGTATCGCGTGGTATCGCATGATCAAGAGCAGCGTGTCCGTGAGTTCGCTGCTCTTTGGTAATGGTACCAGCAACCGGAGAACTACGGTCACGGTCTAATAATCTAACGAATCTAATTTAATAATATTTTCTTGACGAAATGTAAATGGAGGTCGAAGGAAATTGGAGACCATATCGAGTATATGCGTTGTGCATATGATGTATATGCGATAAGTATAATGAACGTAAATACATATGTATGTACAGTATAGTGTCAAATTCATATAAATTAAAAGAAGGGCATGAAGTTAGAAGGTGAAATGGGCGAAAGGTGAAACGATTAGAAAAATAAGGAATAATAAAAATAAACGAGGGAAAGGATTAAGTTAAAGGGGTGAATCTAATATGGCTACGGTATTAAGCTGAAGTGTCGAATATCTCGGTGCTACTTGCTCCATCAACATTGCTTCTTCATAAGTAGGCGGTTGATCGTTGTCACGTCTTGCTTTCGATAACACTTGTCTGGTACGTCTTCTATTACTAATAGCACTTATAATAACAATGAGTGGCCCTAAAAGTAGCATAACGACTCCGATCGCGAGCATGATTATCGCGATAACCGCCCCGACTCGATTTACGGAAGAACGCCTCGGCTTCGTTTCAATTTTCTCACCGCTTTCGTATTCTCGGTTCTTTTCGTCTTTGACGAAACTGTTTGGTTCCTTCAGTTGGACGACCGTGCCAACTGAGCCGGAGTCTTGGAATTCGAACGGACCGCTCGTGCTATCGTTCGATTCCATTTCATTTGTGTTTGTTCCATAAATCGTTGGCGTTTGAATCGAACGCACGTCTCTAACGTCCTGTTCATGACGAGTCGTCGTCGTCGTCGTTCGTCTCTGGATCGTTTTAAAGGATCCAACGTCGATATTGTTTGTTCGACGAGGGTCGTGTAATTTGTGCGTAGCATCGTCGTCGTCGTCATCGTCGTCAGCAACGGTAGCAGCAGGGCTATCGGTAACGACGTTTACTCGTTGCGTTTCGATTCGCAATTTTATAATTTTAAAGTAACCCTCTGTGTTACTCGATTCCCTGATCGATTCACCTTTGTTGCGCCTGGTGAATTTTTCCTGCGAAAATATTGTCTTCATTTGTGTTGGATTTTACATGCTTATATATATACACGTCCATATGGACGTGTTAAAAATATGAGGAGGTGTACACGGAACGATGGCATGGTGGTGTTTTAAATTAGCCTTAATATACTTTTCAATCAATCGAAATCAAGTGTTCGTAATGTTGTATTTCTTGTAGTTCTTAAATTAAGTTTTCAGTCTTTTGTAGCGTACGTGTAACGTGTATTGTGACATTGTGTAACGTACGTGTAACGTGTATTGTGACATTGTGTAGCGTACGTGTAACGTGGTGTACGACAAGTGTCTATTTGTCTATTCGTCGATTACAATATCGAACCTGTATGTTAATCGCATCATTTCGCGCGCTCGTTTTATCGCACAGAGAGATTGCACCTTTCTGTAGAAGAATAATTCCAACGACACCCCAAATAGTCAGCTGAAAGATGATCGTCAATTTGGGAGCCCATTTATTCGCTCTTACATTTAACGACATCTTTTTCAAAAATTGCTTCTCGTGAATAGGATATACAATGCAACTCGTATGCGCCTGCTGGATCATACCGAATAAAAAATCAAATCAGATGAAATTATCATCATCGAATCGTATCGTGTTATTGCATGTTAACTTACTTTTATAAAAATGTCACTCGTTAAATTCGATTTGCGGAATTCTGCAAGACTGAGACAATAGCAACGCTTTTAGTCAAATTCTATTAGCAACGTGAGAAGATATAATTAATTTGTTTGCCAACGGAAGTCGTTGATGACGAGTCAGAGAGAATCGAACTTGTGGAAACGAGTTGAATTTGCAATCACGGCGGGACATCGTATTCGCCGCGGTAACGTTGCGGTCAATTCCTCTCGCTTAACTTGAAGCAAATACGACAACGGCGCTTGCAGTGAAGAGAGGGAGTGGGAACAGACGGAATTACAAATACGTACTGCTACTCGAAGATAAAAGAATAAGATAATATGGTACAAGTTCTCACGTCATATTCAACCGGGGCGGAAACGGGAACGGGAACGAGAACGGGAACCACCGATTCACTTTGCGCACAAGTGTTTCCGAACAGTGCGACGCGCGCCGTTCGTCGCCCGTTCTACGACGTGATCTCAATATCGGAACGTCAGAACTTTTCTTTTACCTTTAAGCCTTTAAACAATTGTCACGCTTCTTCTTCTCCTGTAAGGCACCGTATTAAAACGCCGTTGATAAAAATCGATCGGCACGAACACATAACTATGGACGGATTCTTGATATATATCCAGATCGATCTATACCGATCGATCATACCTGTTTCTCCGCCAACGTTCGGTTGTAAGTACACGTTCGACCATCTTTCGATCGGCTAATCGTTTGGTCGGTTTGGTCGCGGCTCGTCGTCGAAATAACGCACGCACACGTCATACGTTATATGTATTGCGCTTACATACTCGCGTCGCGCATACAATACGTATGCATGTACTTACATACGTCGCTGGTCACGTCTCGCGGATTGTTATGTACTCCTTACACTCGCTCCATTCCCGTTTCCTGTTTCCCGTTTATGTATGTATACTCTTTCTCTTCTTTCTGTTATTCCACCGTCTTGTCTTTTGCGAATTGAAAGTCCACCGTTTATTATATTTGTTGCGTACGGGATACAAATAGACAACACTTGACCATGGAATCGTCGAGCTTGGCATTAGAAAATGTGATGATCATTGGATGGACGACTCATACCACAGAGCTGAGTTTCAAATCTCAATTAAAGGATAATTCAGGAGGCGTTCCACGATAATTAGAAAGGGAAACGATGTTACATTTTTTCCTTTTCTTATTCATTTACACACATGACGCGTTTTATGTAATAGTATTGGACAGTACTACATAATATATCGTAACGTGAAGATAATATACATTTATATGTACACACACAGTTGACTGTTGTGTAAAAGAAAATTAACAACTATCAATGCTATTGCTGCGCCTATCCAATGGATACTAATAATGTTAATAACATATTATCCAACGTGCATCAATTTATATAAATCTCCTGTTGAATATGTTTATGTATATACGTATACTTGCGTATGCTGTAATGTATACGCGTGGGTGACCATGGCTTCCTCCTGCAGAGGCACGAAGTTAGGTAGTTACAAAATCTTTGAGAACGAGTGTACAGCGTTCGAGACTATATTATAGATGGCGTGTATATACTTCTACACCCTATGTATATATGGTATATATGTATATGTCAAAGCATTCTATATTGATGATGACAACGACGACCATGTAATGATTGTAGCGCATTCAATTGTCAATTGACAAGAAGAGCATACTGTAGAAGTAGATTCGAAAATATCGTTTTCCTATTTATATACGTACTTATTTAAATCTTGAACGCGAAAGATGAGAGTGTGACTTACGAGCCTAGTAGACGGTTCGTCGATAGTGTTGCAGCACTGCGTGCCTGGCGTCTGGCTGCGTGCTGCGTGTATTCTGATCAAGACTGATCAAGACTCTGGCTGGCACAAGGAAATAAAAGGCAATAAAATAGTGAAAGGTAGTGTTGCGCGTGTGCAATAAAAATGACTTATTTACGATTTTCAAATTACGAACGCAGATGTAGATGATAGTGATTCTGTGCCGCGTGATCTGTATATACAATGCGTGTATACATATATATATGTGTATACATGTACGTATCTGTATTAGTAGTTTGATAGGTTCGAACAATATTCATAATTAAAATGCGGGATAACGAAGAATTTAAGCTCGTAATTCATCGAAAAAAACGAACATCTCGCGCACGAACTAATTGTCTGTCGAACGTAACATCGCTTGATAACGAGAGAAACGACGATTCCAACATCAATTGTGAAACACTTCTTGGGTAAGGATCTTTTTCCGGATGCATATCACATGTACATGGAAATCTTCCATACAAATTTTGTAACAATTTACAGAAAACTCCTCGAAGCAGAAGGTGAACTAGAGAATTCGTCGTTTCTCGATAATCTTCTTCATGATTTGGATGATTCGTTGGCTGCCTTAAACGTGAACGGAATTCCTGATATATTGTGCTATGGTTTGGGGCAGTTCTCTAGTCGCAAATCCTCGAAATACCAATTGGCATTGCTTCTCCGTTTGAAAAAATATTATAAGTCTCAGGTTTACGTGTACGATCCAGTTTTCTCTTCGGCGGAGATTGAACTATTGAAAAGATTTGATTGTAACACGATAAAAGTTAACGAAGAAGGGAAACGTGTAGTACGCGACAATATCACATTGGTATACATGCCACATTGCTCTATACACTTGATCAACAATTTCCTGTATGCAAATTGGTGCGAGCAGTTGCGCAAGTGTATTTTATTAACGAATAGTTTTTCAATCGTGGCTGACAATACAAAGAGAACGAACAGAACCAATCCTATCGACTACATCTTGCGTATTCAACCGTACGTTACGGAAACAGTTTTAAGAAATGACTTCGTTCATGAAGAAGCATTTAACGACTTGAATATTCATACGTTTCTCGAGCAAAATATCGGTACGCTTCCCGAGAGTTTTTGGAACGAACGAACCGAGCCGTGTTATCAAGATGCTGAAACCGACTATTTAACAGCTAAACAAACCGAGAAAATAGACGCGGCAGATAAAGCATTGTGAATAATAGATCGCCCATCGTTTTTCTAGATAGAAAAACATGTACCCATTGACCACTGAATCACTGTAGCGATTTTTCGTTAATCAGATGATTCGATTTGTTCTAGGTTTCAGAGAAAATGAATCCTAACGTAAAATTGGTTCGTTCGCTCGTACAAGAAATTCGACGAACGTCTTCGGAGCCAAATGTAAAGAACAACATTATGGTAGAATATATTTTAGATCAAGCGCGATCTCACAAGGAAACGTCCGAGGTCTTGTGTAAAGCACGAGAAGAGTTGAAAAATTTAGCTGAAACGTATCTTTGTTACTTGAATTCTCGTCGCCTGTGCAAAGAAATTCACGATCGCTACACCGGCAAAGGTGAACGAACTATAAAAGAGACTGCGGACCTCGTCGGATTCAAGTTGCCTCATGATCCGAAGTAATCGATTTTGTGAGTTATCGCCGATATCGATTTATTGTCAGATAAAAGATTGTAGAAAAGTAATAAAAAATCGTTACAAAAATATGTGCCGAATAAAGTAAATAGAATAAAAGAGCAGTATCTACGAGTAGTCCTTGCGAATACATTTAGCTATAGTCGACAGCTGCATGTTGCTTGTACCCTCGTAAATGGTACCAATTTTCGAGTCTCTGAAATATTTTTCTTGAGGAAAATTCGTCGTAAATCCTACTCCGCCCATGAAATCGATACATTTCGAGGTAACACGCAAGGCCGTTTCTACGTAACAAAGGAAACAGAAAAATTACGTGCGTAAATATTACAAATTATGTCGGTCCTTACGTAAAGTTCAAGAAGGTAGTAATTACCGGACGCAACCAGCTTTGCTATGGCCGCCTCTTTCATTACATTTTTTTTAGCGTCGACCAATCTCGCCGCATTGTACACCGCTAGTCTAGCGCATTCGACTTCAGTGACTGCTTGAGCGATTTGATGTTGCATCGACTACGAAAAAAAAGATTAGACGTTACAATTGGCCGACATTTAGAACAACTGTTTCGACTGTTTCGATGAGACAATTGAATTAATACTTGAAACGAAAATATGTCTGTCCCAAATTGCTTTCTTTCCAAGGTGTACGGTATGGTCGCGTCCAAACAGCCCTGTGCTATACCGATCATCTGAGCTCCGATACCTATTCGACCCTCGTTTAAAAATCCGGCGGCGTATTTGTACCCTTGACCCAGTTGCCCCAGGATGTTAGTTTCAGGAACCTGATCGTGTGAGCAGAAACAAGAAATCGGTACACGTTAATACCTGCTATGAGCCGTGCGTACGATCTAACGAGAACACGGTCTTTCATGTTCGGAAGGAAGAATCGTTTAATTTACTCTGACATCGTCCAAGTGAATCATGCATGTACCCGATGCCTTTATTCCGAGCTTGTCTTCTGGTTTGGCCACTGTCAATCCAGGCGTGTCTCGCTCAATAAGAAACGTCGTGATACCCCGATATCCCTGTTCCCGAGATACGTTTTATTATTTTTGCGAATCATTATCGTTCGGCTGCACGCTCTACATACGATCGTACGGAGTTTCATCTTACAGAGGAAGGATTCGCATTCGCGAAAACCAGAAACAATCCCGCGATATCGGAGTTCGAAATCCACATTTTTGTCCCATTTAGAACGTAATCGGACCCGTCCTTTTTTGCCTCGGTCTTCAAGGAAAAGGCATCCGATCCCGAGCCAGGCTCCGTAAGACAGAAGCTTCCCGCCTTCGGTAAAATTAGGATGAGCGATGACGTGCGATAAAAGAATGACAAAGCTTGTGTTGTATGTTATTAAAAAATTACGATCAACTCGTTTGTCCGAGATATCAAGGTTTATCGCGCTTCGTTCACGAGTACGCTGTCACTTACGTAATCTTGGGCTAGTTTAGGCAGATACTTTGTCTTTTGTTCTTCCGTGGCAACTTTCGTTATTAACGAGTTCACCAGAGTATTATGTATATCGACCAAAGCCGCCACGGCCCCATCGACTTTGGCAACTTCTTCGACGGCTAAAATCGTCGACATGAAACTACATTTGGAACCACCGTATTCCTCGGGTACTTCGATGCCCATTAACTGTCGGTCAGATTAATTGACAGTACGATCAGAAAGAATGCGAATAGAATAAGTTCAAGTGTCAATTTGGTGTAAGAAGGAGGACGGGAAGTCGTCACGATCATCTACTTATTTACTTACACCACTTTCGAAAAGCTTTCGCAGCAGCCCGTCGTCTATCCTGTTCTCCTTTTCCATTTTCCGTACGAGGGGGGCGATTTCTTCTTTCGCCAATTTACTGACTGACACATTTTTTCATCGATTACAATATCGCATTTACATCAAACATAATTTAGAAGAATCGATCAAATTGTATAATCTTAACAGATCGAGGTACGTGAACGCGAGTGTCCGCGTCTTTGTGACACGTAACTATAAACGCAAGCGATCTACCGTTTATTCGATGATAATAATTACCGGTTTCTTTCATCATGAGTTCCTCGTCTGTGAACTGAGATAAGGGTCCAGGAGAGTGGCTCAATAGCGATATACCGACGCTCAAGTGCCTTCTAATACACGCCTTCAGTGTTATCTGAAAATTGTTTCCGTACGCGATTCATATATTATAAATTATGTGCATAAATCGCACTTTTGCTTTGACTAAGGCATGATATTTATTTGCCACATCATTAAGATTACATTTTGTTACTATCGCCTGGCAATCGTTTCATTAATCGGCGTTATTACACAATTGAATTGTCGACGCGATCATTTACAAAACTAGGCGACACCGACGTAGACAAGTTGAAAGGTCGTTTAGTTTACAATTTTAATTAATATCACTGACGAAGGTAAGTGTTTGTAATAGTTGAATAACTCGATTAAAAAGAATCCGAATATAAACTCTATAATAACCGGTTGCGAATAGATACGTGTACAGATTTTATACCTGCTGCCTTGTTAACGGTGCGAATAAATTCATCTTCGAACGACGTTTATTAACTAATTTCGATAAACAAATGTTCACGACGCGTTCACACGCGAATTCTTTATGGAGATACTGGTTGAAACGTTCCGACGACCGTAAAAAGCTAGACTAACCGAGTACAACAAACGGAAGGCAAAAAACAAAATGGGAAAAAAGAAAGTGGAGAACGTTGCTATTCGATCGAAGGCTACTTTAATACTGAATTGGTGACTTGATAATTTGTATCGTGTCCATCTCTATTCGAATAACTCAACCCCCAACCAGTTGATCCCATGTAAGCGTCAAACAGGTTCTTATATAACAAGAAAAATAAAATAACTTCTCTGCACGATCAGATACTCTACTTGGGTTCACTTAGGTTCTAACTATTGAGAAACCCTTGTTTATATTGATTGCCGAGAACTGAATCGTTGACGTATACATGATAACTGAACGTGTTTTTAATATATATTGTGTCATTATGCACGAATAAAGTGAAAAATGTGTTATCACGCGATAATGGAAGTGCTTGTTTGTTCAGAAAAGAAAGAGTGCATCGATTATTATTGTTACAATTTGCATGAACACGTGTGTCTATGTAAACGCGTGCGCGTGCTGTCGTAACGAATTCTGAAAAGCGTACTTCTTATTGCCAGAAAAATAGTTTAAGGACGTATTGGCTATACAATCAATCCCAAAAGTTTATGCACTTTAGAAACGCATTTTTTAAAAAGAAATCAGACGTCGGATGAACATTGCTAATAATAAACAGCAAAACAAAATTTTCGATTTTTCCGAGATTTTTCCAAGGGGTACCCCTTCAGATTTTGCGAAATTTTCGTTTTTTGCCAATAACTCCCAAACCGTTAGACTTACGGAAAAATTGTATACGACCTTTCTTGTAGAGGACGACGAGATCTACAATTTCCATGTAAAAATTTTTCGCTAGCGTCAATAGTTAACGAGTAATTTGCAAAAAACTGTTTTTTCGTTTTTCGTAAATTACTCGTTAAGTATTAATGCTAGCAAAAAATTTTTACATGGAAATTGTAGATCTCGTCGTCCTCTACAAGAAAGATCTTATACAATTTTCCCGTACGACCAACGGTTTAGGAGTTATTGAGGAAAAACGAAATTTTTTGTCAAAAGTTGGCTGTTTCGACGGTGGAATGGTCGGATTTCGTCAATGCCAATAAAATGCCAAATAATGATACGTAACTCATTAAATATCGAAATTAGAAGAAAAGAACTTTTATTTGAAGCATTTTTCGCAATTTTGAAAAAAAAAATTTTCGTCAGCGTCAATACTTATACGTACATAGTAGATTGTACATATATGCAATAATCGTATGTATGTTGCGTGAAAGATATGTTTGAATTCTTGTTGAATGCAATTTATTAGGTGCACTTTATCTTGCCCCTAATTGTTACAAACGTTCACATTCATATGTATAATACAACGTATACTTTGTTATACGTATGTACATGTGTAGAACTTATTACATATCCGTATAATATACGTACACGAGTACTTTTTAGTTCGATTGCGATTCCATCGGTCTGCTCATTAATCACTGATTTGCGCAAATTCATTGCGTCGCGCGTAATAATATAACTATACTGTTTATCAAATGAAAACCAAATGTATACCTAAACATGTTTCTGTTGCTATTGCTGGTCATGTATCTCAAATAATCTGATAATAATAGAAACAAAATTCATGCGTTGGAGTCTGGAAGAACCGCGTCTTTTTGCTGCTTCGCTCGACTGCCAGTGCCATCTTTTCTGAAAATCTTCAAACGAATCGCCCGTTGTTCGACACGTCGTCGTCGTCGCCGCCGAACGGAAAATGGAATCAGGCCGAGGCGTACGTGTGTGTGTGCCAAAGTCTACAGTCAGAATCGCTTTCTCACTCATTATTAAAAACAATGTTACGTCAACATTTACCTCACGTCCTACTCCTAATCCTCCCAATACCTTTTTCGTCTTTCCCGATCGTCTTTGCTTCGAGTATTTTCAATCGTTGATATCATAAAAGTGTTAAGAGAAACAATTAGCTATGAACGTCCGATACACTTTAGAAGAATTAACGCAGATCGGCATAGAAATACGTCGAAGTTTGGAGTCTCTCGATAGTGACAGAAAGAAACAAGAAGAATTGGTGTTGGCGCACATCAAGAAATTTTCGAACAAAGGATCGAGGATCGCCGATTTTCAAGCAGGTTAACGACCTCAAGTTTACACCGTTTTATTGTTCGAACGCCATAGATCGCTACCTCTAAATTTTTCTAAATTACTCTGTCTATGCGTTACGAGCCTAAACATATATAGTCGACCCATTGACAGGTATAGGTAGAGTCAGTAAGTAGAGTGCAAGATAACACTGTAAACAACAACTGAAAACTGATCGCGATACTCGACGATTATTCATGATCTCCAGTTTCGAAACATTTCCAAGATAATCGCACTTACGCATTTCGTCTAAATTGCGTGCGGTCGGAAATCCGAATCGCGATTGGCTACATTGCAAAAATTCTTCGTTTTCATTCTTACATATTTTCGTATAAGAATTCGAACAAGGCTTTCTGGTTTTGGCTAAGAAAAGACGCCGTACAACGTACGCCGCGCACGCGATAGCGTTCATGTTACGGAGAAAGATATTTAGGAAATCGAATGAACGGGATAGGAGGAGCGTTAATTTGACGAGCGACGAACCAAATTCGGGTCGGCAAACGTGTTCGGACGGTAATGTTAAAGAAAATCCGTTGCTCACGGAAGAGGAGACGCGCGAATATTTTCGTCTAGTGGAACAAGAAAAAATTCTCGACCGACAATTGTCCGACTGGAAAGCCCAAGAGGCAGAAGTTCGATCGACTCAAGAAACCATGAGTTTGTTACACGAGTACAACGATATCAAAGATATCACTCAAATGGTTTTAGGAGCTATAGCTATGATAAATAAATCTACAATCAAAGATCTGCACGAGCAGTACGATTTACCCGTGCAAGACAATTAAATTCATTGTGCTCCTTTATAGTTTATACATACACGCTGTTTTCATTCATTCATTTTATTCCTTGGCTTTTCACTCGAATCTTTCTCTCTTAACCGAGTCGTTTCCCTTCTCAACATCTAAAACGCAATAGGATTGGAATGGTTCAACGTGACAGAGGAATTATCCATCTATCGGCATCTAACTGGAAAGATAATTATTTTGGATTTTTTTACGTATTGTTGCATCAACTGTATGCACATTTTGCCAGACTTGGATGCTCTTGAAAAACGATTTTCCATCACGGATGGTCTTGTCGTCGTTAGTATATGCGGACTGTCTTTTTTCAAATATGCATGTCCGATCAGATTCGAAGTAAACGCGCGTCGACCGAATAAGTACATTTCAATATCTCTGTTTTCTTCCAGGTTGGAGTGCATAGTGCAAAGTTCTCAAATGAGAGAGAATCGCAGAAATTGTTGTCAGCCGTGCAGAGGTATAACATAAACCATCCCGTTGTAAACGATGCAACTTTATCAACTTGGCGTAACCTGGGAATTTCTTGTTGGCCAACATTGGTAATGATAGGTATGTACATAATAACGCGCCTGTGCGGCCTGATGGAGAGTCCGACGCCGAAAACCATCTGCTAAAACGGGACGGTGTATGCCTTGCAGGTCCCAGTGGTGAACTGCTCGCTGTTTTCGTTGGAGAAGGGCACAGAGACGAGTTGATACTGTACGTGGATGTGGCGCTCAGATATTTTAAATCATTGAAAAAAATTCGCGACAATGATATTCCTCTGCAACTGGCGCGGCATTTGTTACCGGTCGCTGGGAACGGATCCGATCTCTTATTCCCTGGCAAGTTGGAGCTATTTCGGAACGAGCAAGGAGAACGGTTGATCGTATCCGATACTGGGAATAATAGAATTTTAGTGTCGGATACGTCGGGAAATGTGGAATGCGTTATCGGTGGCTGTAATCCGGGTTTAAAAGACGGTGCCTACGAGAACGCGCAGTTCAATGCACCCCAGGGTGTATGCGCGTTGGGCGATTCGATTTACGTTGCCGACAATGAGAATCATGCCATCAGAAAGGTAACACAGCAGTTCGAAAAAAAAAGTATGACCATATAGACCGATACCAATGACTACGTTTGAGATAATACGGAAAAACTTGAATTGTAGATAGACATGTTAAAGAAGACGGTGACCACGATCACTGGCACCGGTGTTCAAGGCCACGATTACGTCGGGGGTAAAGTTGGTACGGAGCAAGCTATCTCCTCGCCATGGGACGTTGCTGTTTATGAATACGAACACGAGAAACGGACCGTGCCCGTGTTATTGATCGCAGTCGCTGGCACGCATCAGATTTGGGCATATTTCTTCGAAGAGACCGTTTGGTGGAAAAATAGGTAATGTAAAAAATGATTTTGATGTCTAAAATTCATTCGTTGATCGTTCGATCAACGAGAACAGTAAAGCTCTTTTCGTAGGCAATCGTTTTTTAAACTGCGCAGGACATACAAAGCTGGTACATGCGCTGCGATAGTTGGCAGTGGCAGAGAGGAAAATCGTAACAACGCTTATCCTCATGCGGCTGGTTTGGCCCAACCGTCTGGTTTGGTCGTTGTCCAGGAGAAAAAGCTTGTGTATTTCGCCGATAGCGAAAGCAGCTCGATCAGACGCGTAGATCTAACAAATGGGAGAGTTTCCGCCGTTTGTGGCGCTAACAGAGATCCAGCGGTAGGTTCTACACGTAGAGAATCGTTGTTTAGTTCTTCAGGGATTTTTGATGTTCGGAGTTTTTCAACTTTTGGTGATTTGCGTTGATCGTAGGATCTGCACGATTACGGAGACTCAGACGGTGCAAACTTTACGGCAAAGCTTCAGCATCCTTTGGGAGTAGCGTGGCACTTGAAGGACAACGCTGTTTACGTAGCCGACACTTACAATCATAAGATAAAGCGGATAGATGCGGCTACCGGGTACTGTGAAACTGTGTACGGTGATGGGAAACCAGGACCAGGGAAATTTTCGGTACCTTATCTTTCAGACTTTATATTGCAGTTCACGGTAGATTTCGGTTTAGTCACGGAGATCCTACGTTCTGTGCAGTTCGACGAACCTAGCGGCATCGCTGTTAGCCCAGAGAAAGATCTTTTATACGTCGCCGACGTTAACAACCACGCTATTAAAGTGATCGATATCAGAAAGAAAAGCATCGCCACGGTAAATCGTTTAGTTTACTTTTCTCAAATATGCGATCGATGTCAAGTCAGATTCGAATCGTTCATCTTTTATGCTTCAGTTACCAATAAAAGTGCCTGTGACCGAAATAGTTGAGAATGATTCTGGGAACACGTATCTCTTTGATACTACGATCAGCGAAAACGGCGGTGAACTGACTATTACGTTCGATGTGGTTTTCTTTGAATCAGAGTTAAAATTGAACGTGGACGCGCCACAAAAATGGACCGTGAAAGATTTGCCAGGGACCAATAACGGCGACAATTCTGGATGGACGTGTGCGGTGTCGAACGGAGAGCTTGCAACACCGGTATCGATAAAAATTCCCGAGGGCAATGGAATAAGCGAAGTACATATCACTTTGAACATTGTCGCCTGTAAAACTACCGAGTGTCTGCCAAAAAAGTTGCTGGTACTGTTTCGTGTACATCGCAAATCAAATGCTTCCACTGTTGTAACGGAAAGGAAACGGCTCGTGGTTAAATAATATATGCATTTTTATTACCGTTTATCTTCCTTCCGTTTGTCTTTCTCTTTCTACCGGCCGCCAATCGAAGATTCTGAAAACCGGTTTAATTCGAGTGACGACGACAGGATACAGTTGGAGAAACGACGATTTCGTCTCTCGGTGTCTTGTCCATCGGAGCTTTCGGTTCAATGATATTTTCGTCAGCGTTCGGTGACTCGTCGTCGAGGCATAAGCAAGGATCTTCCAGTTTCTCTTCCTTCCAGGAATTATCTCGGCGAAATGTGGTCAACCTTGAATTGATCTGGATTGAGGTAGACTCGAGTGAGATCGCTCGAGTCGCAGCGTTAATCGTACCTTTGCCACCAAGGCTCGAATGAATTACTCGTAAACGGTAATCGGGACGAAAGAATCTTCTCGTCGAAGTCGGGAGAAAACCAATTCTCGTACAGCTCCCTCCGATGTCCGGTCGGTGGAGACGTACCCTTTTGGCAATTCTTCACTATCCAGCGAGCGTGTTCCGTACTCGGTATCTCTAGCACCTTCGAACGTTCAGATCGGACAGATCTCGAGTCGATCGATGCAATCTCGAGTGCAAACCTTTTTGGGGTTTTGATAAGACGTGATACAACGTGTACGTGGATTGAAAATTCCGATACCCGAATCGTAACACCTCGGAGGAACAGCTAACTCGTATGGATCGTTCTTGCGTAACGTTGCTCCAGCAGGTCTCAACCCATATTTGTGACACAAAAAATACCTAGAACGAGATGCCAATGAGTTAAACGCCTTTTAGAAACCTCTTTTTCTCATGTATCCAGCTGACCGTCTATCGGGGAATTTGCAATATTTCCAATCGCGCTGTGAAAAATTTAGACTGTCGTTGAAAACGTATTCTTTGCCCTCGCATTTACCGCGGGACCAAATACCGTCCACTCTTTGTCCACGAGGCCAGTACATGCTACCATGACCGTGAAATTTACCATGCCGGAACTCTCCTTCGAAGATCGTGTCTGTTACGGGTAAACAAATACTTAATAGTACAGTAGCAGACGACGATGACGACGACGAAGAAGAGCGAAGAAGATGACGATTGAGTAGTAGAGGAACAACATTTTATACGATGCGCGTATTTATTTTATTCTCGAACTATCGGTAAATGAAAAACGCGTACAAACTGTAGAAGACGAAACAGTAACGAAAATGGTGGTCGTATAACGGTATGTGTCGACTTACGCGCGAGAAATGCTGAATGTCGCGCTCAAAAACTAGTACGTACGCGTGATGCACATACATAGAAATTTCATAAAGTATTGAAGAATGCCATTCTTAATTCGAAGAAACTATTGATGTTAAATTTGTATACTTGAATCGGTATTTCTTTATCAAATTGCATTTTCTATTATTTTCATATATGCGCTTGAACGTACTATGCGGCAGAGTGAATTTCCCAATTCCATCCATGCCAAACGTATCCCAAGTCCCCTTATATTCGCTTCCATCGATGAAACGCGTTTCATCGTTGATAAGTGGGAAGTTCTTGAACTGCACGCTCATCTTTCCTTCGATCGTATAATTGTGATACGATTCAAATAATATCGTATAGTACGAACGAAAATATAGTGGGACCAAGTAAAATACATAAAATAAATAAACGGAGCAAAGGAGCAGGCCAGGGGGAGAAATATTTCGAACAGAAGACCGTCTTTCACGAATCGTTTTCAATTGTTTCGAATCGAATCGATCGTAACACCAGGGGAAAAATTGGGAAAACGTTCAGAAAGTATTGTATGTACTACATATTTTCGGAAACCCTATAATTTTCAAGTAAAACAGAACGACACAGATTTAATTCACTGTGGCATTCGCGCGTGACGCACTTTCTTTCATCTGCTGTTCGTCCGATTCTTGGACAGGTCAAGTCACGACCGAATATTTCTTAAAACGGTCGAAGTACAGAGTGGAAAGGGAAGCAGACAGCAGCAGACCAAACGAATACCGTTAAGCGGTTCTCGTTACGTGTTCTTCGACGTATAGTAAATCCACAGGTAGAGACGAGATGCATGTATAGGTGTGCACCTGCACTAAAATTAATAAACACATATTTGCTTTGTACCTCTCGCGTACCGTTCGCGTACGAGTAACTGCGAATGAAACGAAAAAGAGTTACCGAAAGCGATAGAATTTCCGCGGAACGTCGCACGTCCGTAGATAGCTCATCCCGAAGGTTCGCGACGATATTTTTACTGCTCGGTCGATGTACCGTTAATCCGTTGTGCCCAAATCGTTTCACGTACCCTTGACCCATATCCCGTTCATGTCGAACGAGACGAATTTCGTAAGTCGATCCCGAGCTCGGAGGAGCTCCTGGCTTTTATCCTCGAACGTATGCATCAGACCACAACAGAGTCCGGTCTGGTCCATAGGGTCCGCGTGGAATGGGTGACATCCAGATCCTTTGGATCTTCGACTCGCATCGTTAAGCTGCGTAACTTTACGCTGACTCTTTAATCTCACGTCGTCCTTTCCTCTTTCCTTTTGATATAGATTCTCATCCCGTCCCGTGTACTTGCATCCGTACGTCTTCCCCTCCGCATGAACCATTCGGAGCAACATCTCTACTCTACTCACCGGGTTCACCCTTTCTCCATCTTTTGGTTCGAAGACCATGCTCCCCCCTCTTTGATCACTTTTCTTTCTCAGTCCGATGCACTCGTCTTAGCCAAGGATTCAAGAATTCAAGCAGTACACTCTCGTCCAAGGTAGGAGACGGTAGAATCGGGCGCAGGCAATACGGGAAGCGGAGACCAGGCCAGGATCGGGCAGGATCGCCGCGCGCGCTGTCAGAGAACACGAAGGAAAGAATAAGAAGAAAGGTAGAGAAGAGGAGAAATACGTGCGTGGAAAGTGAGGAAGAAGAAGAGTCGTCCGGGTCCTCGTTAGCGCATCGTTCAACCGCGAGGGATAATTAGCTCGATCGCCTCTTAACGAGGGACGAGGTAGTTAGAACCGATCGTAAAACCCTTGTTACGGGCTGGGCTCTTTCGGAATTCTTGTGCACGAGATATTAAACGGATATCTCGATTCAGTTTGCTACTCGTGAATCCAGAGATACTTGATATAACACGACTGCTAATCGATTGGTAATAATTAAACAAACACTTTTAAAGGATCTTTTTCAATCTGAATTTGAAACAAGATCGAGAGCGTCATCAGTAGCATGATCGGCCACTAACAGCTACCCCGACCCGATTATTATCATCCTGATGACGATCTTCATCTTCATCTTTATTCTAAACATGACAGTTTTCAATTTCACCGTTGCGTTCGTTTCGTTAAATCAAACAATTCTATTTTGGAAGAATTTATTCTCTAGTAGCAGTACTGTTCTCCAGTAGTAGTAGTAGTAGTAGTAGCAGTAGCAGTAGTAGTAGTAGTAGAAGACAAGAAGTCCAAGTCGGAGCTCGCGTTTACCCAGCGATTTAGAACGCGACGGAAAACCGGTCGTCACGTTAAGGCGTTGATCCGTATGGCGTATGGGGGTAACAAACAAGGAACCGAAGGGTCGTTCACCGAAAAGAAAACGAGCGCTCGTCTTTGGTTCCTTTGATCTATTTTCTGGTACACGCGTGTACACTCTCTTGCACGTATCATTTATAAGTAATAGCGACGCTTCCTTGAACGCGGCAACGATCTCGTTCGCACCATTTATATGTACATCCTGCGATCGTCGCTTTCAGATCGGTATTCGGGAAACGAGAAGAAACATCAACGCGGGCATGTCTTTGAAACATTTTCGCGCGGCATTCACGGCACTCGTGCTTTGGACTTGGCTCGTTTTCAGCGTTACCGGTTGGCCTACCGCTGCCGTCGGACCGTCACCCACGACAAGACGTCGTCACGAGTCTAGGTCAGTATTTCGTACATCATAGGAAAATTTCTATACGTATTCGTGTGATCGATCATTGAAAGGAAAGCGTGGGAATTAGAAACGCTGTGGATCGGATCGAAAGAACCGAGGATAATTTCGAAACCGCTCGCAATTTACGTTGCACTTCGCTTTGATTGTAATTATTAGTAGCAGCAACAGCAGATAAAGATCTGAATACATGATCGTGTATCCGTGTGATTCTAGTGCGATCGCGTCGATACTGGAGACTGGAGATGCGAAAAGAGACAAGTCGCCGCCGAGCTCGCCGACGCGGCCGGTTCGCCTCAATTTACATCGGCTACCTCCGTCGCCCGCCAATCTGTTGAAACCCGACGGATTTCAATTCTACACGTACAACGAGAAGGGCGAAATGATCACCAAGCAAATGACCATGCAGGAGATTCAAACTTTGATCGCGGGTGGCGGCCCGGACCATTCGAACGGCGAGGTTCAAGAGCCTCAAAAAGCTGAGGATATTCTAAGCGGTGGAAAAAAGGTCGGTGTGAATACAAATATTTTTTCGCTAGATCGTGGATGAAAAATAAAATTTTATCGTTCTTTAAAAATCTCTCCCGTTTCTACTGTACGCATACATGGACCGAACGCACTATACGCGATCTACTTATCACCGCGAAGCAACGCGATACGAGCTAGCATGTAAATGTAGTTTGAAACGTTTCACGCAGGTGATGGACGTCGTGGAGAAGGTGCAAAACGTATTGAAAAGTGCTATGGATAAACCGTTATCTTCGTTAACCGCCGCCTCGCAACCGATGATTCCGGAGAAGGCGAACGTCGAATGGAGCAATATATTACCCGCTATTTTGGCCGGTGACAAATACGGTAATAAGGTCGAGGAGGCGACTCCAGACCCGTTATCCGTGTCCGTTGCCATTCAGAATTCGGATTCGTCGAAACTCGACGTGAACGAAACTGACGAACCTGAAGCCGTTACCAAATACTACGCGGAACAAAACGCGACCTCGTCGACCATCCGAGTGTCAGAAACCGCGAGCACCACGGAGAAATTAATGATACCGGTGTCCGTTATCACGACCGAGCGGACCGTCGAGCAAACCACTAAGCAGCACACCGTTCAGAATACCGTATTTAATAGAACGACGCGGCCCGACGAATATCCAAATCGCGAGAATGGCTCTGTGTCTGAAGACAACGGCAGCCCCGCTGCTGTCGCTGGCGAGATCAAATGGACGACGATCGATGCCATTCTACCTACGTCTTCCGTTTCGATGACAAGTAATAACGACAGCGTGACTAATAAAAACGAGACTTCCGATACGGAAGTAGAAGTGAACCCGACGATTTCCACGACGATAGATGATGTCAAAACTCCTGTGAAAACGCAAACACCGTCGATCGCCCTCGAGGTTGAAACTTCCGTTACCAGCGAACCGTTCGCCACTCATTCATCCACCACCACTGCAACGACCGCTTTCACGGGCGCAAACAAACATAACGCGAGTTCAATTGTGTCCGATGCGATTACGAATCTGAGCGAAGAACCTTTAATGAAACCTCTGTCTACGGAGTTAATAAATTCGTTGTCGAGCGTAATCAATCAAGTATCCGAAAAAGTTTCCACGGTTTCTCTTCCTTCTGACGACGAGCAAATTCGATTCCAAACGGTCGCACACGGCGAAACCGAGGACAGACACAACGACGTTTCCGATGTTACACCAGCGGCGACAACTGGAACGGCGGCGTCTTCTACGATTCACCGAGAAACGGATGACACGAAGAATGTAACGTCTACGGCATCAACGATTGAAGAGAAGGTGGTATCATCGACCTCGGCGATCGAATCGAGCGAAGAGGAAAAAATGCCTACTACACCTGTTGCCATTCTTTCTTCTGATGCAACGAACCAGAACCATTCAACGTTCTTGTTCAACGAGACAAAAACACCGATTAGTAACGTCACTAATTTCAATTATTCATCGCCGATCGCGATTATCGAAAGTATGCTCGAAACTGCTTCGACGGAAGCGAACTTACCCGCTACCGAGTCGCTCGTGCTTCCAAACAATTTAGAAAAGTTCTCGGCTAGCACTTTGGCCAGTTCGCTGATCGCCGGTCTTGACCTCAGCAGTCTGAACAAAACGCAGACGACACAGGTTCCCGAACAATTGAATTCGACAAAAATCGTAACGAACTCATCGTTAATCACGAACAATGAAAATAACACTCGACAAGAAGATCCGGCGATCAAAACTGAACTTCCTTCGAAAGAGGACAATAAACCATCGCAGAAAGAAGTAGAAAAGATGAATGCGACAGATGTGAGAAACGCGTCTGTCGCTCCAACGACAAGTTCCACCGAATCGTATCACGAACAAGACCAAGTATCCATCGTTTCTGAATCTACGCTAGGGACATCGAATGCAACTCTTTTATCCAATAATATAACAGTCACCGAACCGACTCTGTTTGAAATTACATTGACCAACGAGTCAGCCGTTAGTAAACCATCGTCAACCTCGGAAAAATCCGAGGAAGCAACCGAACTGAGAACCGTGGAACAAAATGTTTCGAGTAACGCGAATAAATCGGTGAACAATTCGTCGTTATCATCGAGTCCGCTGCAGAAGGTCGAGGAAAGCATATTGAGAATAGATTCTGAAACGAACCCAACTCCCGGGGAGACTAGGAATGCCTCGCGGATCGCATCGAAAGATGAAAGTACTACGACCGAGCGCATAGAAGAGAGCACGTATCGCACAACGACCGACGGAAATGTATCTCTTACGACCGCGAGTGTAGAGAAGTCGAACGCAACGAAAGAAGCACAGGAGCAACGTCCGCAGGTGGTTGATAATTCGAGCACGACTGCGACCAACTTGAACGAAACGAAATCGGGTCACGAGGGAATCGTTTCTACAATTGCCGCTACGATCACCGAGGTGACCAAACCACCAAAAGTGACGTCGTCAGAAAACGAGGAGATTAAGTATTCGATGAACGCAACCACGCCTGCTCTAAATTCCATTACGAAAGAATCGAAGGAGGGCAACGAGACGCAAAGCGTAACGACCGCGACGAATACGGTGAATGAATCGGAGAACAAGACGAAAGATTCGAGTCTCGAGTATCAGAGCCATATCGGTGCGAATGCTTCGATGGAAATCTCAACGACATCGGAAATGTTTCGCAATAATGAAACCATTGCTGGTGCTGAAATTTCGTCGGTACCACCGACCGACGACTCGAATGGCACGGATATCTCGAATCACGGATGGCAGCAAATATCGTTGAAGCAAACGACGACTTCGTCTCCGTCGATGAGCACGCAAACTGCGAGCACAACGACGAGCACGGTTCCCCAAACGGAGCAGGCAGAAGAATCGACTGTTTCTCTGGCCGCGTCGCAAAGCATCGGCGGACTGGACACTAGCACGAGGAACGCTAGTACCGATATCGTTAACTTCGCGAGACTTTGCAATGAGATCGCGATCAGATTTTGGATCTCGGCGAACAAAGGACTGAGCATGGGGAGATCGCTGGTCGTTTCGCCGTTCGGTATGACTAGTTTGCTAGCAATGATCTTCCTCGGTGCTCGCGGCTCTACATCTGAGCAAATGAACGAATTGCTCGGACTCGACAACGTGGCTACTTTCAATCCTCATCTAATCTTTCAAAACGTGACGGACACCGTGAGCCTTTCCAGGAACCAGGGCGTAGCGAACGCAGCGTTCGTCCGCGAGTTGTTCGCGGATAAAGCGAAAGTGAGGAAGCTGCTGCCGTTCTACAAAGAGCAGGCGCAGCAATTCTACGAAGGACTGGTCGCCGAAGTGAATTTCGCGACTATCAGCGATCTTGCTCGTCGCCGGACGAATCTATTGATCAGGAAGCAGACCGGTGGCAGGATAAAAGACTTCGTGAAGAGTAACGCGGTACCACTGAGATCACCGTTGGCTGCCATCTCAGCAAACGTCTTCCAAACGGATTGCAACACGAGTCTGACCAGCGTCGCGGGTCGAGACGGCGAACTCTACTTCGCCGTTTCGTCGTCCGCTCACAGACTGAGGAAACTCGTACCCGTTCCGGCTACCGTCTGGCGATCGAACGTCCTCGCCGGCTATGAACCCAGTCTAGACGCCACGGCGATCGCCGTGGGTGGAGTAGAAAAGATCGTTTCAACGATATTCATTTTACCTGGCCAACAGGGCCACGCTGCACCCGGCGATACTCTCGACCGTCTCGAGCAGAGGCTCGTCAAGGCAGCTTTCCGGGATGGAGCTTGGGACAAACTCCTCAAAGTGCTTATACCGAGAACAGGCCTCGAATTACAGATACCGAAATTTAGTCATCGATCGGTCATCAATGCTACCGCTGCGTTGAAAAGAATGGGCCTCGATCAGTTGTTTTCTAGTCAAGCCGACTTTAAAGGAATCAACGGTATCGGAAATCGATTATTTTTATCCGACGTTCTACAGGTAAGAACACAACACGACAGGCACTGGTGCCTGCCTTCGAGACTTGTTATTCGATAAATACCTTTTTCTGTTTGTGTTTTAGATGAATCTATTTAGCACGTGCGGTGACGAGTACGTCGCCAATGGACGACACCACGTTGAAATATATCCCGCGAGTCCCGCATTACGAAATTCTCGAGACGACGAGAAATTACGTTTCGACGACAGTATATCGAGGTCGATCGAGGAAGCGTCGGCGTTGGCGAGAAACCTTGACAAATCCGAAGACAGGCCTAGATTGAAACTGGATCAGCCGTTCCTATACTTCGTTCGACACAATCCAACCGGTTTCATACTGCACATGGGCCGTTTTAATCCCAGGTTAATGTAAGAGACGACGAGAGACAAAAATATCGTCTTGGACGTGTATCGGAAGTGGATCGAGCAAGTTTCTCACTATCGGCCCACTATTACCTTACAGGAGGGTGGTACGTGTTCGCGCTTCTTGAACAACTTGTTTCGAGAGATCGGCGACGACGACGAGCCATGCGAAACAAAATTTATTTCGTATCGAGCACGTCGCAGAATTAAAACTTCTGTACATGTACCACCCTATAAACTTGGACGGTATTAATAGAGAGCTTTAATATTGAGAGATATTCATATTTTAATCGCGCGTAGCAAGCGAAGAATGGACTTTTGTTGCGCGAGATGTCTTCACGAACGTTTCCGAACTAAGTGAATGAACATCGCAATTTGTTCCGCTGTAGCTGATCGATATCACTTGCTATAGAGTAGTTAATTTTGTTATTCGAGATAGATGCACTTCGGCGCATTTCGAGAAACTAGAAACGACCAATTTAGGGGGATAATACGTAGTAGAATATAGTCGATAAAGATCACACAGCCTATTTGCTCGAATCAGTTTCTATTTGCATATATGCACCTGACGTACCCGCCGCCTCATACCTAATCGACGCGACGGTGAGAATCATTTTCTGTTGTAACGTCTCGTGCGTAACATATTCGTTAATTTTATTAGTAGTACTATTCGACAATAAAGATGCATCCTTATATCATCTATTTCGTATCGTATATTTAAGTAAAATGAAAGAAACATGTTAACGAACCTTTGGTGGACATTCGAGTTGTAGAAACACCGGAGCGTGCTTGTAAAATCGTCTTGGTCCTCGCAATGTCGCAGCACGTATCAGAAATTTCACAACTAGGCCGTAGAGTACTTTGTCACATGTAGTCGTTAGCAGTCAATTAGCTAAGCGCTAACCACTCGGTAGTTCATAAGCCATAAATAAAAGGTAATTCGATTTTGTAATAAAGCAATGATGTTCACTGGGAGTCGCTGGACGAGCTGCTAGACGAATCGGTTGACATAACTTCGACATCCTCCGTTTCCTGTTTATGAGTGTTCATGGCAACACTTCCTTGCCCAGTCATAGACATGTGAATTTCGCCGGATGGATGCCACGCGAATTGATTAGCTTGCGATACAGGCGGTTCTGCAATTCGTTGTAAAAAGAAATTCGGCTAAAAGTAAGAATAAAAAATGTTTCGAGATGATAGGTGGTGGAGAACTTACCACCTACCGGATGACCGCCGGCTCTGTGCAAATCTGACGATATCCCAGGATGAGCACCGGGCATCTGTCCATTGAGAGGAAGATCGCTTAATCTTCCTAAGTATCCCAATCTCATCTCGATATCTGCGTAAATCATTGAATCAATCGAACCAGCCTTTGCACAATCGTTTCTGTGACCACAAGTGTAAACGTGAGAAATTTACCAGTAGGATAAGGCCTTCTGGGGTCACCTTGTTGCCAAGTTAGAGGGGCACATATAGCATTGGATGCACTTATTCTATGGGCATATTTGATCAATTCCTCGGATGGAACAGGCCTCTTATTAGCTCTTGCTATAGACTGTAACTTTTGTTTTGCTTGATAAATTGCCGTAGCTAAAATTTGTTCTGCTTCCTTCAATTGTCTCTGCAACTGTTGGATATCTTGATCTTGCCTATCAACTTCTGCCCTCAAAGCTTCCATCTTCAAGTTAATTTTTGCCTGTTCTGCGGCTCGTTTTAATGTTGATTTTAATTCATTGTCTTTACTGACTAACAGTTCAGTTAATTGGGCATGTTCTTCATTCGATAGCTTCACGGGTTTTTGAGCTATCGTATTTTCAATCATCTCCCTAAAATAATCAAGTACATAATGTACAAACAGATTATGGATATAAGATTACCAAGAAAACTTCAAGAAGACTCGTTTACTTTGCTATCAGTTCGATGTCATCGATGAGAGACAATAGAACTTCTCTTGTACTTCTACCGGATGATGTCATGATAATTATCAAAGTTCTTTTTCTAAACTGTTTCCAATCAACCGATCGTACACAAGCATCTAACCTTCGACATCCAAGAGAAAATGAGAACACTCATCTCCAGGATTTCGTGATTTCCGTGCAAATGATATGTACGAAGAAGACTCGTTCATAAAGCATCTATCAGGAAATGTTCAGTGCTTCTTGAGTTTTATCAAGGATCAAGGTGATCGAGGTATCCTCACGCAGCGGATTTGTTGTTTGGTTAATATCGACAGGAAACCACGCGGCGACTATTGCGAGGGCCAGCAAGTGGTGCCACCATTAACGGTGAACGGCGAAACAAGAAAATTATGTGAAAGCGTGCGTGCGTGCGTTGACGTCAGTGACCAAGAACGCTGATAATCTTGCGACGCAGATATCGCTACGCGGAATATCGGAGTGTATCTTTGGTGGTTTACGGTCGGGACCGATCAAACGTATATGAGCATTCTTGGTGGTTTATGGTTTAACGTGCTTCGGCCACGAGAATATCAGTTATAGGCCCGTAATGGGCGGGGTCGTGGCTTGGATCGAGTGCGAGTGAGAGACATGGAGCGACCTCAGTGTTTTTAGTGGTGAGCTGTGCGGCCATCGCCGACGGTCGGTTTTGCTTGGCGTAACCAACGTTACTCCGCTATGACATCGCTCTGAGAATCCCAGATTATCTCGGTGAAAGGTATGAGTTTTCCCTCCGAAATTTGCAAGCGGCTACCTCTCTCTCTCTATCTATCTATCTCTCTCTCTCTGTCTATGTGCACGTATTTACGTATGCGTATCCGTAGCGTATATATGTATCTATACTATACCTACAGTCCGAGTCCACTGTGAGTAGTGTGCCGTATATATACATCGTATCGCTGTATTATACGGTACACTCACACTATACATCTAATACCTATAGCATACCGTACATCATTTTACATAGTACATATATACGTGTACATACGACGTACGTATACATATATCTTTCGTTCGCTCGCGCACGACCCCTGTCTTCATTTGTTCCATCCCAGTTCCCTTCGCTCGTCTCGACAACGGTGTATTCTGTACACGGCCCCGACCATTTCCAATCGGTTTTTCGTAAACTTCTCGACGAGCGTATTCTCCGGTGACTATACTTTGTTTCTATCTATTTATTTCATATCGAAACAGCTCCCCGTAACAGTAATCTTTGTTCGCGTTAGCACGTCGTTGTCACGACGTACCACCCTCGAATTTTGACAAGTGTATTTCGTGGAACAGGTGCAGAGGATGCGCGCGAACCGTGAAAACGCGTCCCTCCTATTTGCACATTGTTGCGTTATTACATACGTACTTAAGTACTTACATAGGTACATCATGTATACGTAGAACGTTCTACGTTCGATCGTACTCGCCCCGTATAGACTTTTCATCGACCAGGTCCCCGATGCGTATATTATATTCCTCTCCTTCATCGTTATCTCGCTCGTATTCGAATTCGCGCGTCTGTATTTGCGCGTAACGTGTGTCTATTCACAATTAGTATCTACACGACACGTATTACGCGCGACCTTATATACCACACATGTAAGTTACGTAGGCGTACACACGCGAAACATAAATTTGTATACGCGCGCTGCAGGAATTGTACTTACTCGCGTGCGTCACGTGTACGTGAAAGTAGATGATACGTATGTGCGAGCAGGCTAGAAGCTTTCTTCACAAATTCACAAAGCGTTTTCAAGCTTCGCTCGTTCCTTCCGTTAGCCTAACTTACCGCGACGTAATCGTACCGATAACGAAATTTTCGTTTGCAATTCGATTCAATTCGTAAGAACACGCGATCTCCCTCGTCGCGTATATTAAATAGTTATCATTATTACAACAGATTTTTTAAAGGCGTACTCGTTAGATTTAGATGCATGTCGTATGCATTGCATTCGATTACACATGTGCGCTTAGTTTGCGTGTATGTAACTACAAAGTGACTGTTTTCTCCGCGTATAGGTGTAGTCGTGTAGTCGATGTCGATAGTGAAACTTAGTAGTCGGGTCCATGCGTACATACGCATACTCATCGAGTACGTAGTAGCCGCGTGCATACACGTCGTAGATCATTTATTTGCGGAATGAAGAATAGCTATTTCGATACGTTCGGCAGCATCGATGCACGCTCGCGTGCTCCCCGCGATAACAGTACAAAATGAAATGTGAATTGGTGTCAGGAGGAACGGGGATGTTCATCAAAGATCTCTCGCAAGTCGCTCGCCAACCCCGAGGCCCCGAGGGTCCCGAAGCAGCGAGAGGTGCCGAGTCGCGTGTCGTGTGTCGCGACGCATTCCCGACCCGACGCCCACTACGCGTGACGCATGCGTTCTAAACGCTCGATTCCGCTGTTCTTCCATCCCTCTCCAATGTTCCGTCCGTCCGTAACCGGAACGTTCTTCTTCGCTGATTCACTTGTTCGTTGTTTCTTAGCAGAGTCTTACGTTAGATTCTCTCCCAACGTGCTTGCAAAGGCTCCCTTCTATTCTGCGGATACGCCCCTGGCTTTTGTGACGGAAAGAATCGCGAACGAGCACCCTCATCTCTCCGTTTCTCGCTTGGCGTTTGTTGGAGGGTGCGTCGTGCCACCGTCAGTACAAAAATCCTGATTAATCGACGACAAGAACGCGTGTAGACGGTGTAAATTCCAGGACCGATCGACGATGATCGTCGTGTAAAAATCACGCTGTAGTCGAGAACGATGTCCCCTATTTTACTTTTGGAACTCTCGAACGCGTGTACACCCCTAGTGGGCGGGTAAACCTAATCGTTCTTCTTCCTCCAGTTAGCAGCAGTCAGCTGAACGTATTCTAGATACGCATACGTAGCGCTCTTCCGCTCCCACTGTACGCATCAATTTTCCAATTGATAAGGGTGCGCGGTTGATACAGAATGCGTACCGAGTCTACTAACCCTGTCCTTCGCATTCTCCTCTGTAAGTTTCTCCTGTGACGATTCATTCGAATGAACCAGTCGCCGATGACGATGACGATGACCAAAGTGTCGGCGATTTCTTTATCGGAAAAGACGTAGGCGCGCGCGCGCGGAGTCCCGTAATTGTAATTCGTTTCGATGCAACGGAACGGACAAATCGGAGGATGAGATAGGAAAGAGAAAATGAAACGACGAGAAGCAGAATTGTTTTTCTCTACTTTTTCCTATCTATAAGTACCTACGTCTGAGAAAATTCGAGTTCGAGCGCGACGGGTTCGATCGATCGAAGATCTATGCTCAATAACACGCGTAGCATAGAACTATGTACTCTGTACGTACATATGTATGTAGTATAAAGGCAGGAGGGAAAACTTGTTCTCAGCGAACAAGCGTGCCGCGCGTGTTACGTAAAATTAACAATCGTGTTCCGAAATTCACTTTCCCGTCTGGGCGTTTTGGGAGAGGGAAGTATACTTGTGTACCAGATGGCACGGGCACGAGAACGTTGCTGCTGGTGCCGGACGAAAGAGCCAGCTACATAGCGGTACGTAGCTTACATAGGAGAGTATCCTAGCCGCGCAACGTTGTTCTTGGATGCGCGACTCGACGCGACGGCGTGAGTGCGTGAGATCGTACGACGCGACTGTTTTTTCAGCCAACACGTCTCGTTTTTCTCGAATGGCAATCGCTGCGGGAGACGGATTTCCTTTGCTCGATACGTAACTGGTACTCTGCGTCGAACCTCACTAGTCCGCCGCAACCTAGCGGAAAATGTTCGCCTCGCGCTCGCGTTCGTGCATTGGAACTTCGGCCTTTGGCGTGTTTACTTGTGTGCTGAGGGCTGGTGCCAGCGGGGACTCAGCGCGATCTTCGAGAACTGCGTGGGTGCGGCCTTTCCCCGGTCTCGAAAGAAGGGGGACCGGATTCTCTTCTTTGCTCTCTCCTTCATTCTTCCTCGTTCGCTGGCTGGCTGGCTGGCTGACTGGCTCGTTCGCTCGCTTGCCAGATCCTGTCTTTTTCTTTTTTTTTTCACTCGAGAGTCCCTTCGCGCTCACGGCTTTAGCTTCGGCACTCCCCCGTTTTAGGGTCGCCCCTATCTTCCTACCGTTCTCGACTACCCTTCGCTCGACTAAAGTCCGAATAGGATCCGAGCAGGGACGTGCGGAAACATCGCTGTACCATCGCCGCGTTTTTAAACAATTTCCTCTTTCTTCATTTTTTATTCTCATCGCAGGTAAATCGAGCGCTGCGCATAGTTGTTTATAGAGAGATACCTTTGCTAACCAGCGACGCATCCGTAGTTAGACTGTGTACGGTGACTGGATTCTACTTACTACTTGCCAGATTTTTTCCGACACGTCCTAAAAATAAGATCGAACGAGCGGAGTAATACGAAGAAAAAAAAGGTGTTAAACTCGTCGACGGAACGCGGAACGTTTATTATCGACTATACCTGGAATGAAGGTACGGGGCTTCGTACGAACGGCGTACATCCCTGCGATGGGTCTTTCCCACCATCGGCGTTTCTCCCCATTCCGTGGCCAGCAGCTCCCCTTTCGGTGTGTCGAGAGTGTCGAGTCGAGAGTCGCACGAGCGTGGAGCGGCCTCGTCCGTTCGTCTGTGCCGTCTACGATCTCAGTCCGTTGCGCGCCGCTGACTGGAAGGGTTGTACGCGTCGTTCGCTTGCGTAGCGTACGCGCGCTGGTGGTTGTTTCGCGTACGCGCACGTGTGCGTACACGCGTGTTGGTACGCGCGTGCGTGTTTAGGTGTATGTGTGTGCCTGCTATCCGCAACGGTGTCGTCCGCATCATACAGTGTGTACATACGTACGGCTACGGTATACGGACGTCCGATACCATCGTATCGCACGGCCTCCGCTTTCAGCCGTTCGCGTGCACGGAGCAGCGGTGACATCAAGGCATGACAGCGACGCGGGAGTGTTACCCCATACGGTAGGAAAACCTTCTTCTACCGTTCTTCTATCGTTCTCCTCCCGTTTTATTACCGACTCTGGCCGCCGTGTCATGCGTGTACGCGCGTATCATCTATCAAACGATGGTGCACGTTTAGGGAACTGCGAACGCGACACCAGCTACTTTCGACGACGACGACGACGACGTCGTCGTCGTACACTCGACTAATACACGAAAGTTTTGTCCGAATCGATACGCCCTCCGGTTGGCGTTCCGCGTATCTCTCTTGTAACGTAGTACAACGTTCTTGTTCCTCCCTGCGTACGCGAGATTCGCGATCTGTCGCACATTCAAGTATGTATTTCGTTTCCCTCTCCGCTGTGTAATTCATGCGATATATAATTACGCCCCACGCCGATGCTTCTCTGTTCCGTTTCCGACTCGTACCGCCGTCGCCCATGACCCGTTCTACTCGCGTATAAATCGAGTATGATCTAATCACGGAAAATCGCGCGCGAGCTTTAAGTTAAATCGTAAAACACGACGAATAACAATGCGCGTTGTCGCATTTGTGTTTTTCTATTTTTCATGCGTGTATCTGAAGTTTGTAGGCAGGGTAATGTCTGCCGTGTATCTCGTCTTCGAACCGTCTCACGGTCTCGCGCTTTGTATCCACGATAAAAACGTAACGGAAATCATTATCAGTACGAACGATACATCTCGTACGAAGAATTTTACGAGCCTACTACGCTTATCCGTCGGCGAAGTACTCGCTACTTATGTACGCGTGTACATTCTAATTCTCTTGTCACGTTTCAAGATTGAAACTCTCGTCTCTAAACTGAAAATCGAATGCGTATCGCGAAACTTAATTTACGACTAACATTAAGTAGATAGAGTGCAGCCGTCCGGTTCCTCGCGCAGTTCTATTGCTCGTCGAGTCAGCGACGATTCCTAGATCAGACGCTGTTCCGGACGAAACAGCCGAACGCGTTTTCGAGTCTCGTGAGCAGCAGTGAAGACAAGGGAGAACGCTGAAAGCGGCGGTCGGTTTTCGAGAGAAGGAGGTCCCGACCCCGACCCGCCGCGCCCTGCCGCTGCCTTCGAAGAGACCGCCTTTTGTCGGTCCGACCCTTTAAGGCTCGAGGTTTACGGCCCTGTGTCCGTGAGACACCAGCTGGTGGAAAATCGAAAACTTGGCAGCTGCCGCCCCTTCTCGACCGGCATAAATTCCGAGCCTTTGTGCTGGCACCAGCCTTAGCCCTAACCTCGGTCTCGGCCGTCGTCGGTTCGAATATGCAGGGTGCACCATGTATGCCTGTACCACTGTTGTCCTCCTATGGGTCTCCGCTTCGTTGAAAAATTTCGGCCCAAGATATACCGATCGTGGGAGGTTCCCACGCCTCTGATACGTCACCGCATATTCCTCGTTATCGGGGGGTTGGTGAAGAATTTTGGATTTGGATTCTGCGACTCCGTTACAGTGGCGTTTGGGGCTAGAATAGGGAATAGAACGGGAATCAGAATCAGACCGCGTTGTCTCGGCAGTTTTTGCGACGATGGTCCCATCTCGAGAGTCGCTGCCATTGCGGAGAGGAGTTTAAAGGTAAACGGGTTTCTCTCTCGGACCAAAGACCGCCGCAACATCGGGAGGTTCTGGTCTTTCACGTTACACTCGTCCACGTTTCTTTCTCCTGTTCGAAATAGCTTATGAGACTATGTTCATCCACCGTTGTAGGACAACCCGTGTTCAACGATTCGTTTCGTGGAAGATTTATTCGCACGAGTCTATACGATTATCACGAATATCGTCTACCGACTCGAAAATTGAAATATATCGTTTTATTACGTACATGCATTTTCTATCGTATAGGCTTATCTTCTGTTGTTGTACGCAGCGATACCCGTATCTTCCCGCGTGACATGTGGCGTGTTCACCTGGTGCCTCTGTGCGAACCACCTATTCTTGATACCACGTAGATGTAGCGTTACTTCTGCTCGAAGTGATTTTGTCTTATATAGACCAGCGTTCTTAGTTATCCTAGCTATACGCGATGCGGTACGTAAAACATTTCAAATTAGTACATTTAGTATACCAAGGACCGAAAATGGGCTTTTCCAAGCAAGGTTGATACTACGACTGCCATGTCGTGCTCAAATCATCATCCGAGTTTTAAGAAGTCCATTCGCCCCATGTTGTTCACCCTATTTTTTATAAAAAGTGTATAAAGAAGACCATTCTTCGTTGTTTACAGATTGGATCGAGGATATAGTTCTTCGAGTCGTCCGTTCAATTAATTGTATGACATATTACATACACGTATATGTATGTAAGCATATATATAAAAATACATAATACACAGCAAGCATGTATACAATATAGGAGTGAAAATACTCATTTTAGAGTTTCCTGAGCGTCAGAAATAAAGTAGGCCATAAATGGTCGTAAAATTTAAGCCTTAGGACCGAAAATGGCATTTTCGCTTCACTTTATCTCTGACCCTCGGAAAACTCTATTTTCGCTTCACTTTATAGGCACTGAAAATTGTCTTTTTTATGCACGTGTTATAAAAAATATTTATTATCCTATCGATACAAAGAGAGGTGCTCGAATCTCGGTGAAAACGAAGTATTTCTGCGAGTGTAGGTTTATTTGAGAAGCTTCAAGTTCGAGGGCGAGGGTGGTATCGTATTCCATCGTGTCGTTAGATGCGTCGCGGTTATCGGTGATAGTCTTTTCTTTCCGTTGCGGGGTCAGAGCCTAAAGCAACGGGGCCTGGATATTCCGGTTCGCTTAATCGGTTCCTCGGACTTCGGATCGCGTCTCTCTCTCTCTCTCTCTCTCTCTTCTTTCTCCCTCTCATTCTTTCTCTCGTTTCTTCTCTTTCTGTTGGTTCGCCGCGAGAAGGAAAATACGAAGAAAAGGATGCCACGCCGCTCGTTGGGCTGGCGTTAGGCCGGCCCAAACAGACCCAAAATGGTGTGCCTTCTAGCGTCCACAGAACGGTGGAGGAACTGTTGGAAGACTATACCATTAGAATAAAGACGCGTGTATAAAAGAGTTTCGAAAGCCGTACGTATATCGTCAGAGATCCGAGTGTGTGTGTGTGCGTGCGTGTGAGGACATAGACAGAACGAAGAGCTCCTTCAATCGTCGGAGACGTCGCAGCCGACTAGTTCTCTCGAAACGCACATGCGAACGAATGTTTAAATTTTGTCAACGATCGATAATCCATAGGATGACGTTTCGAAACGCGGTCGCTATTACGGTTCCTTCAACCATGTATCCACGATCGTGTTTTGCTCGGAGAATAGTCAGAAAGCTTCGAAACGGCATCGGTCCTCCTCCGCAGCCCTGCTGCTTCGAGCAGCGCTGGAATATGGCTGCTCGGTAAGCTCGAGCTCGTTTCGAAAGAATGGTGCTGCGGGCTAGGCGATGTGAATCCGCGGGGGGGCTCTTGGTCGTCTAGCTTGCTTCGCGATCGACGCGTAAGTGCGTAACGCGTTCGAATTTTTCGGCAGGTTGCCGTTTCCCGATAACAGCCGTACGCTCGGGACTCTCGGGAGGAGTTAGCGCGGACGTGCGCACGTTTCGAACGAAGGGGGCTATCGGGTATACTGCTGGTGGTGTACGAAGAATCGGAGAAGCCGGGCAGCGAGATTAACCTCCTTCTTCTCCTCCTCCTCCTCTTTCTCCGCCTCCTCCTCTTCTATCTCCTTACCCTGCCATCATCTTCCCGTGTCGACCACGGAAACGAGTCGGGAGAATACGAAAAAGGAAGACCAGCTCGGTGGTTACGTTGCGGAAGAGAAAAAGTAAGAAGGGCGGTGGTAAAAGAGGAAGGTAAATAGAGAGAGAGACGGGGGGAATAGGAGGAGAGGAAGAAAGAGTGAAGGGGAGTGGACGAGGGTAGAATAATAGTAGGATCCGAACGAGCGCGCGAAGGGAAAGGGAATGAACGGCCCTGGAAGTCATCAGCATCGCGGCGGCTTGGGCTTGGGCTTGGGCTTGGGCATGCAGGGACGATACAGGGCCGTGGTAAACGGTGGCAGTTCGGCGGGGCCCCATCCACGGCTGCCGGCGCCACCTCACGCTCGCGGTGGATGGCACCCCCATAATCAACACCCTCAGCACGCCCAGATACCTCAGCAATACAACGGCAACAAGGAATACCCGTATCGACAATGTCCACCGCCGCCGCCGCCACGCTTTCATAACGGGTACTATATACCAGCGAACCTGCCGCATAATCGTCCTTTACGGTATTTACCGCGAATCTAGGGTACGCGCGTATTCTCTTTTGCCAGTTTCGGCCGGTTTCGCTTTTTCGCGCTTTCGCCGACCAAACGATTTCGGCGATACGTTCGTTCGTTTCATTTTCCGTCGACGATCAAGGATCCGAATACGTGACGGCCGGCCTCATGATTCGACTCGTTACGTGTACATATATATGTATACAGAGTATCGGATTTCCTCCCGTTCCGTTTCGCGGGTTGGCCTCGGATCTACGGTATCACCGTCTCGTCGATCTTTCGCGGCGCGCGTCGCGTCGTCGGTCAACGCATTAACGATCTCCCGTTGTACGTATTCTCAGGGACTGTCCGGGCGTCGGTACCTCTTCCGGACCAAACGGTAAGGAGGTGGTCTCGTATCACGGGAACGTAGGCGGGTCTACCGTGGGGTACAAATCGCCCCCGCAACACAGTCCACAATCGAGAGGTCCACCTGCGCATTTTCCGCAAGAGTCCGTGGGCCCACCAGCCAATTCTCCGCCGTTGCACATCAACATTTGCGGTCAAGTAAGTATGTCCGCCGTTCTTGTCCACGGCGGCGTCGGTATGGGAGCGCAGAGTGCCCGTACCCGCATCCTGTGCGTTCTTTCTAAAAATACACGTATTCGCAGGAGAACACGATGCGCGGACCGTTGTTGAACATGAGTCCAGGACTCGGAGCTAGCGGCGTCGATATGGAGTATCGTAGAAGTTCGCAAGGTATCCCGAAACTTTCGAAACAGTATATGTATACCTACATACGTATCGATCTTTGGTCGAGCGCCGAAGTCTCTCGTACTATATAGTGTACCATACCGAGAGAGTACCAGCTAAACGACGCCGTTCTCTTTTTTCTTTCTCTTTTAGCCACGAATCAGCTACCTTTGAGTCCTGTACAGATCCAACCATCGCCGCCATACTACAGACAGCCTAGTCAAGACGACGGTAGAAAGGTAGGGGCGCGCGATATACGCCGTTTCGCCGTTGATCCGTCGTCGTGTCGGCTTCGGCTTCGGCTTCGGCTTCGTCTCGAGTGTAATCAATGTTGCCACTGTTCATTTTTAGAGCGAGTCGCCATCGAGGAAACGACGGCGAATTTCTCGGAACGGTGCCGTTTCCGGGATAGAGGTACGAGAAACTACGCCGCCGTCACCCACGCCACCTTTGCACGCCACGCCGCCGCCGTGGGAGTTCACCGCGGCCTCTCAGAGACGGTCGCCACGGAATCACATGTCGACGCGCGGAAGCCCTACCACGATCAGGAATCGTTATCAGCGATACACGGACTCGTTCGGTCTGTCTTATCCCTTCGTGGCTGGTCCGCACACCCCGCATCCGCCCCCCATTCACGGTTCCCACCACGGGATTCACGGTTCCCATCACACCATTCACGGTTCTCACCATAATCTCCACAACTCTCATCACAATATGCATAACGCGCATCAGACGCATCCGCATCATCCGGCGAGCGCTGGACATCACCCAGCGCAAGGGGCTAACGGCGGACCCGTAGTCGTCGACGTCGGCCAAGTTGGTGTTTCCGGTTTGGGAGTAGCCGTTAGCGGCGAACCGCTCTGGCATCCTCAGGCGGCTGGTTACAGGATTCCTTGCCAGCTTCATGGGATATACGCGCCGACGGGAGCGCACGCGTTCGCGCACTCCTGCCAGGTAAATCGCGCACTGCTATCACGACGATTTCTTCGTAAACGGAGGAACTCGAGTCGGATCCTCGCGTCGGCCCCGCGCTCTGTCGCGATCGAATGTATTCTGAACGTTTCTGTGTACAGGTCACCCATCATCACGGTCATTATTCGCCAGCCCATCCGACGCACCCAGGCCACAGCTTGGTCGGTTCGCTAGTTGGCACGGCATCCAGGGGCTATCCGACGCCGACCGGAGGTCCTGTTGCGGCCCTACATCACGCTCACGCGCCTCCACCTCCCGTCCATACCACCCATTACACCGCGCATCATCAACTATCCCAACAGGTACGCTGGGCGGGGTTATGCGGGGGTACGCTGTACGCGGTTCGTACTCGCGAACGTTTGCCTGATCTTCTCGCTTTCTGTATGTTACAGCGAGAAGTAGAATTGGAATTGATAGAATCTCATCATCATCATAGAGTGGGAGCTACGGCTGGTACGCCGTTGCCGTTGCCGCACTCGTATTCACCGCCGGCTCTCACTCAAGTCACCACTTCGACCCCTACGCCTATATTCCTGTCGGAAACGAGAAACAGTCAATTGGAAATGATACAGAGCAGAACGCGACGCACGGCGTCGAACGTTCACACGCTCAGACGATCGAGGTCGAGTAGATGGAGGGGCACGCCTCCGATACCACCGGCCACCTATTCGGGATTCTTGCTACACTTCTTGTAAGTATCCAGCGTCGCAATGTTTGGATTCCCGTGTCGCCTCTGGTCGTCGTCGTCGCCTGTTCATACCAGGAGACGTGCTCGTGGGCTTAGACGATTCCGCGTTCGAACGAATCGTACGAACGCGGATCTAATTCTTTGACGACGACGACGACGACGACGACGACGATGACGATCGGGATAAGAATCTTTAGGATAATCGACGAAATTTTCGCAAAACGCGATTCGCAGCGCGATGCTCAGCAACCCACCGTTATCTCCGTACAGTCAAGCGGAGCTGTCTTCGCCGGATTCCGCAACCGAAAATTATGAGGCCTTGCTGTCGCTGGCGGAGAGGCTGGGAGAGGCTAAGCCGCGAGGACTGACCCGCGCCGAGGTGGAACAGCTACCGTCGTACAAATTCAATGCGGAAACACATCAGGGAGACCAAACGAACTGCGTCGTCTGCATGTGTGACTTTGAGGCGTTGCAGTCATTGCGCGTGCTCCCGTGTTCGCACGAGTTCCACTCCAAGTGCATCGACAAGTGGTTAAAAGTGAGTATGAGAACAAATATGCCGAATGATGATTCGCTAAACGCCTGAAATTAGTTGATTCGACGTGAAGTAAATTCCGTTGAATATCTTCGTGTGAACAGGTACGATCACCCGTGTTCGTCTTTTTGATTTCAGTCGAATAGAACATGTCCGATATGTCGCGGTGATGCTTCGGAATACTTTGGAAGTAACGGAAGTGGTAGCGACTGACGCCAAGCTACTCGTGTGCACTAGCGCCAACTACTGTCGCGGGCCACAGAGATGCTATTCACCACGGAACTACCAGCGATCGCTTTGATGGTTTGTGCAAATTTCTGTTGTCGAGGGTTTCTCGCGTTTTCCTCGACCGAGCGGTTCGGGCGGTCCGGCTTGAACGGCCCCGGACCCTAGGGAACGGTGCAAGGTGTAAGGCGACGAAAGTGGATTCGGGTGTGGGCTCCTTCAGATCGAGTAACGGGGAGAACGAGCAGTGACAACAGGAGAAGAAGGAGAAGAGGAAGAAGACGGAGAAGAAGTCGAGTTCAGGGTATGATATCAGGGTGTGTTTGGTGTCGATGAAAGGACCATACGTAGACACGCGTACGTGCATACGCACGTAACGAATCGATTTCGCGTGCTCATTTCGTCGTCTTTGTTTCGTTCTCGGTGATACAGAAAGGTTAGAATGGCAGAAGTAGTAAGGGAAGAGAGAACGCCAGAGCGTCAGATACCGTTACGCGATTTCATTAAGGCTTTTGCAAAGTCCGACCGCGATAATTATAATTCTTTATTTCGATCGACGCGATTCGAGTTCGCAAGTACGTCGTGTATGCGCTCGTTCATGTTTTCTTCGTTTTCTCCATTTTACGCATTGTTACTTCATGGTAAGAATCGGATTCACGATGAACGCGTACGTGACTGTTCGTTACGTAACGTGCGAACCGATCGTCGGCTTTTGTCTCTTCCCGTTAAGCGGTTACAAATTTTATTATTGCTTCGACATTTGCCTTTTTTCGCTGTATCCAGTCTACATCGTACGTGCGCCCAATTTGAATTGGTCCCATTAAGATAGAATACGTATGCGCGCGCGAAGTCCCACCGAGTTTTAAGGTACTATATGTTCCTTTTTTCTTTTTCTCTTTTTCTCTCGACGACCATTTTAGTGAACGTTGCTTTCTTTCCCTTCGAATCGTGTCGACGATGGATAACACAAATATTTTTCAAACGATTCGTGGAATACCGTGGGATTGGTTGGTTATCGGTATCCGAGACGACGACGATGACGTCGACAATGACGACGACGACGAAAAAAAACCGTTTTCTTCGTTTGCCATTCTTTGGTAATGAGAGACGAGTTTACGCTCGAATCCTACCGATCGCGGCAGACTATCTGTAGAACGTAGTAGAATGAACGGCGCAGAGGAAAACAATAAACAGGTCGTATATCATTCGAATCGCGAAGAACCGATGTCGCAGAACAAGGCGCAGAGATCGAAAAATTACAAGGGCAGAAAATCGAGCTCTTCGGCGACAGTTACATACACCTAGTCGTTACTTTCAAAGAAACGACTAATAAAAGAAATAAATGAATTAAATGCGAGAAGACGCAAAGATAAATAAAAAAGAATGAAAAGAACTACTGCTTCAGTTTCCTGCGTGTATCTACCTCTAACTTTACATAGATGAAACGAAACGATTCATATTTTTTTATACACACATCTCGTAAACGATAAACGTACGTACGCTAAGAAAACTAAAGAAAGAAGAAGTGAAATATGTAAGTAAAGGGCAATCGAGGATTGAATTGGGGAGATGGAAATCGATAGAGAGAAGAACGAGCGAAACGGAGATCTTTCCGAATTTTCACAATGTTAAAGGTAACGATTAAATTAAAGATTAAGATTTATGCGATGTAAGAAATAACGCGTATCTTTTACGCACGTACGGTCAAAGTGTGAGGTGGGAAAGGGAGATCTTTGATGTGAAAAGAGACGGGAAGAAGAATACACCTGTATCGAGCAGAATTGCTACTACTCGACCGAGCGCACACGCACGCGCTTTAATTAACGAAGCACGATCAATTTTCTCGTTGTACCAATTTGGTTAGCAAATTTTTTGTTACTCTTTATAGTTCGATTAAATTGTTACAAATCTAGTTAGATAATTACCGTTGTAAACTTCAAACGATTTTAGTTTTAGATTAGTAAAATGTCAAGGATGATTTTCAATGCCTTTGCCAGAGGCTACAAATTGTTTCTTTCTCGTCGACCGGTCGAACATTCACCCGCAATAGCAGAAATGAAAAGAATCGACGAATCTCGCCCAGCGTACGACGCTAACTAGCATAGCGTGGTGCCTCGTTTCGGTTACGAGAGATAAAAGTCGAATGCGTTATTCAACGTGACCAAAAGCAGGGAATCGCGGAGAACGTTACGGTAATCATCGTTATCGGGCTATGTATTTCTCACAGTGGTACACGGAGTGCCAAATGGAGGCAATGAATTTCGATCGAGTTTCGCTGAAAATCAAAAGTCGATTTCCTTTCCAGCCGCGACCTGTGCCCCTACGCGTTTCGTCGGCGTCGTTCAGTAGAGGCCGGTAGTCGATGCAGATCGCTCGCTGTCCGCTGCATCATAAACCTCGGCTCGTTATCCAACAACACGTGATATCAAAAGTCGACGCGCGCGAGCGTGCTTTTTTCCAGCCGAAAGATCGTTCGAATTTCCCTATACTTATAGATACGTTACGCGAGAGAACACGACACATATCACTTGTATCCAAGCGTCTTGCACACTCGCCCGTTTCGTCACATTTCACCGGGTCGATTGGAGAAAGAAAATAGGAACAGGCTCATTTTTTTACTAGCTTAAGGCTGCGAAAGTGAGAACGAAAGTAACAAAATCAGTGAGAGAGAGAGAAAGAGAGAGTGAGAGAGTGAATGATTGGCATGCGCGGGGGATTTGTCAAAAGGGACGAGCGTTCGATTGGAAGAAACCGACGCTGAAAGTTTGCTCAGCAGGATAAATCTAAAAAAAAAACCGTCTTTCGGATTTCTTTTAATGAATTTTATATGCGCGATAACGAAAGCTATACGCAGTAACGCTCCGAAATGTTGGCCGTTCGGAAGCCCGTCGCATCGCCTCTTCGATATACATACGTCTATGAGAGAAACTTTCTTTCTTCTGATCTTTGAATTTAGCTCTGGTCGCTTCGCTCCGTCCAACGCTCCGTCCCTTCTCTCACGCTTAGACTAAGGTATAGCATAACGAAACCTCCGTAACACGTAAAAGTACCTTAAGCACGGCACACCCTGAAACGCGCGCGATCGGTTCCGGTGTCGAATTTGAAAACCGATCACACAGCAGCTAATTCGATCGTTGTCCTGCACCGATTACCGGGATATCGCGCACGTTCGTGAAACCGACCGCGAAACCAGTACCAAAACTGATTGTTCCGACATACGTGCGAACTCGCGCGCGAGTTGCTTCTACACGTAATACGTACCTAATCGATTTTATATTAATTTGCAGTAATTTGCTGTGCGTAACGAGTGAGAACATGGTACTAGACGAGACGACGACGGACCAGCATCTATAGTTCGCGCGATGCGAATCATACCTTTACCGGCCCCGTACCGTCTGTACGCGTACCAGTTTCCTTTACCCAGTTTTCTTTGTTCATAAGCGTAGATAGCTGCGATCGCAAACGTTTTCCTCTCGCTATATACCGCCGCTTTTACTTTCGCATTTCTTTCGCCATCGGCACAATCGACCGGGATTAACTATTTTACCTGTCGGAGTAATAAACCTCGGGGACGATCGAAACACTGTTCTCCGCCCAGGCAACTTGTAAATAGGTTCGATGTTTTTTTTTATCACCGCTGTAGGTTCTGCAGCTGCCTCAATTGTCATCGCCGCTGCCGATACCACGTACTATTTTTCTCGTAAACGACGCCAAGTATAGAAAATGCGTTCCAACTACGTTTTTATACAAATGCTATTTAACGTTTTTTAGTTGGTTCGTGATATTTAATTCGTTTGTTAGTTATCGTTGTTATTAATTATTGTACCATTATCATTATTATTATTATTATTATTATTATTATTATTATTATTATTATTATTATTATCACGTTATTAATTTAACGAGATACAACGGTTCGTTAAGTTTGTCGATAAGTAGATCGTAATATCTCTGATACCGGGAATAGATCGTTAAATAACCAAAATGCCACGACGAATATTCTGTGCTGTACACGGAGACGACGACGGGAGAAGTTTCGACGATCATCAGAAATCGTCGAAGCTGTTCCACGCCAACGAAACTATTGTACAGACGCGATAACGATGCCAAACATTATTATATGTTATATTAATACGAACACTGCTGCTACTACCGTTGCTACCGCCTTCTATTCTCATTCTCAATTGTATTCTCATTTTTATTCTTATTAATTATTATTGCTATTGCTACTGCTATTATTATTATTATTATTATTATTATTATTATTGAAAATATCGTTCATTATTCTCAGATTACACGCTCCCCTTCACGTTACGTGTGTAAAAGATGTTATCTCCTTTTCTGTACATGCACATACAAATGTATCCTGATTTTTCGCGCGCGATTTCCACGAATCATTGTTAACTATCAATCGCAATTGATTCGTTTTGATATCGCGCTTCGAATGTACGTACGTATCGACCCAGTTTTCAAACGAGCCAGTAAAGTCCCTTACTCCCTTATGTTATATACATTGTACGAAGAACCACAGTCCATACGTCGAACGAGCGAAGCGACGAAGCAAGTCGTCCGCGTATCCACCTAAATTACATATCCATTGCGATCATAAGCGTTTAACCCGGATACCGAGTTTACGAGTTTATTCGATATTCCGATTCGTTCGGGGAAAAAGCGTTGGGACCAAGTCACGTCGATTCGTTCTCGCTTGCATACCGAATGTCGCTCAGTCATCGATCTATCCGTAACGCTGCCGTAGTTATCAGGATCCCAGCGCGACGTTCATCCGGCAGAATCGAAACCGAAGGGAGTAGCCTCTAATCTGCAACGACACCGAATCGATGAGGACGACGGGACGGGAACGGAGATGGAACCGGGGATCTCGTTCACGACACCCTCGCTGCCTCTAGCGCGATCCACGGGCCGTAGAAACGCGCTGACGCAAGGGTTGCGAAACACGGAGGGAAAGAGAACGAGGGAGGAGGGTAGGAGGTAGGGAGAATGCGATAAAGAGGAAAGAGGAAGGAGACAAGGACGAAATTCGCAGCCAGCAGAGAGATGAGGCAACGCGCGATGGTGGGTGGACGGCGCGAGGAACGAGGGTGCCTACGGCGCGAGGAACGGGAGACGCGATAGAATTCGAGTAGCTTTAAAGCAAGATATGCTCATATCTCGCTATCGCACGGCATACGGGCTCGGTTGGAACACTCCATCCTCTTTAAGTTGCTCGACAGAGACACTATCGCGTCGATGGTTCCCCTTTAACGAAAAGCTCCTGGCTGAATACATAGGGCGTAGGGGGTGGGTCGCGCTGGCTTTAGAATATAAACCCTCTTCGCGGCCAGCATCGCATTCTCTCCGTTTCCCGCTTATCGTCCGAGCCTTTTATTTTCCGCTTTCGACGGACCTTTCTCTCGATTTTTAGTCGCCTCCGTTCTTTCGTTACCAACTATACTCGTTATCTCAGCTGTTCTCCGATTTCCTCGTCTCGAGTTTATCCCTACGCTCCGTCCTTAACCGTTAGCTAGATTTCCTAGGCTTTCCGTCCTCGCGAAATCGAAACTGATATCGTTTCTTTCGTCTTCCATCGATTTTTCGCAACGACGTCTCTCTTTTCTCGTTGCTCGCTTCGGCCTACCCGGCCACCTATAAACTCCCACTCCTGCGGAACTCGCGTTCCATGTAGCTAAGGAGTCATCCCCTTTAAGCTACGTACACTTAAATATGTATGTACGTATGTATCTCTCCCGTTTCCGCCGCGTTTCCTCCCTCGATCCCGGGGCTCTTTCCCTCTTGGCGGTTCGCAACTTCGATCTAACTGGCCAGAATTAACGGGCGGCGGCGGCGGGAACGGGATACCGGCAACGAGAATATGCACAATGTCAGAGAATAAGAATAGCTACGCACGGGGTCAGGATGGCTGGCAGGCTCGAAATCAATTCGCCGCTGGTCAAAATAAGTGCGTTCGAGTAGTGGGGCGGCGGCGGCGCAAAGGGTACGTATGTACGAATATATACATGTACGCGAATACATGCCTCGAAATCTCTCACACCGTCAGTTAAAGTCGTCGTCGAACGACAGGTCAGAGGTAGACGAAAGACAGTTAGATACGCAGCGAGCGAGCGACCGACTGATCGATCGATTCGTGGGTCCGAAGAGGGACGTCCGTATCCTTTTTACCTAGGCTATTACCCACTGAAACAAGAATTTGCAATTCCATCGTGAGCGAACGCCGGGAGAGAAGAAACGCAAACGCGTCCGGAACGGATCGATGCGTCGAGCTCGTGCCGCTCTGCTCGCTTTCAGCCAGCCGCAGCCCGCAACGCGACGGGAACATCCCGGATTTGTACGTGTGTATATGTACCTAATAAATGCACATACGCATCTACGCCTGGCCGCGCTCCCACGCGTCGCAGATTCATTCTCGTTGTCATTGTCTACGTCTTCGTCTACGTCTACCGTATGCCGTGACGATAACTAATCGCAGCATTCGTTTTGCTAAATGTGCGTGATGAGCGTCACGTTCCACTACTCGAACGATAAACTGTAAACTATATAAAATCGCGTTGTTTCTCGATACTTGCTCGATGCGAAAAATGTTCATCGACGACGAGCGTCCGGTTTGCCTTCGATGTTCGATCCCGTAGTCGCGTCCTCCGTTGATTAACTCGGTTCGTGAATTTGTTTGCCCTCGTCCTCGCAATTTAAATATGTCTATCATCGATCGTTTTATGGAATCCAAGATTAATACGGGTCAGCCGGCCGTTAGTTTGTCCATTTTCGAACAAAGACAACGACGGAACCAACGAGTGTTTATTCCACTCCATGTTCGTGACGCACGTATAACGGAAAACGGTAGAACCCAGAAGGATAAGCAGTCGTAAAAATAATGACGATACGAGCGGGGACGGGGCCGGTAACAACGTCATAAACACGCGAGGATGTCATAAACTAGGCCCTTTTCCACGAAGTTTAATGGGCCTTAATCTTAATTCGAGGCTCGACCGTACTTTTAAGACCGATGGAGCACGGGACGCGCTCGTGACAGCCTTTCTCTGATTTCATTGTCGCGTCTGTAGTTTTAGCGTTAGTTAACTACTGCGATTTTCAGCAGGTTTATTCACACACGTGTTCTTCACGAGCTGCTCGACGCTCGCGAGATTTCTCTAATAACGTGTATTCGATCGGGATCGGGACGGGATTATTCTCTTTAATACGAGGAGGGTAGTCGAGAGGAGATAACGCAACAACGTTCGTGTTCATATGTATCACCCTGCGCGATGTGGAATGTGCCGGTGTGAGTCATGTAAGTACATGTACCATGTATTCAAATGTATTTTGTACATACCAAAAGCAATATCTATTATCCGCTACATACGTACATACATATGATGAGGCGCGATGACGAGGACGATGACTATGATATGTATGCGTGCATGCGTGCGTGCGTGCGTGCGTGCGATTGTTACATATTATATATTATATACGTAAACTGGCAGGCAAGGAGAGATACGCCTACGAACACACGAGCACACACGTACGTACACCCCAGATACGTAAAGAGTAACACATGTATACATACCTACGTACTTTCGATCAAATCATGATTTAAGTGGTAACGTACCAGCTCGGTTGTAAATTACGGTAGCATAGATTAAATATGTACGTACATAGGATATAAGGCGCTTTGTAAAGTGGTAGGCGTAGGTGCTGTGCATCGCGTATACATATGTGCACGTATGAACATGTGTACGTACACGATATACAGATTATGAGTAAACGAGAAGGAAATCGGAGGATGAAAGAATGCGGGCGAACAAAGAGATTTAAAAAGAAATTATTTGTCCGAAAGAATAATGTGTCTTATACATATACATGGCAAACATGGGGGGGGGGTGCGGTTAGGGAGGGAGGGAAGAATCGATATTTCTCGAGAAAGAAGATCCATCGGTTTTACGAAATGCATAATAGGTGTGTTCCTTTTGTTAGATGGAGTAAAAGTAATACGATGATGCATACATAGTTTCGTAACGATATACATACTTGACGACGACGAGGAGAAGAAATACAAAAGAGATATATCCTAGATTACCGAATCACGAGGTCTGCTTTGTCTTGTTATAATCAAATACTTTATATTATGTAGTCGACAGGTTGTCATTAAACGTGTGAACAAACCTATCCATCAATCACATATTTCTCTATTTACCAGTGTCGTAATTGCAAAATTACAGCGAGAGACGAAGAGAATCGAAGATTTTCGTATCCGTACCTGCTGCTGCTGCTACATGAACGTTATACGTTCACCGGTCCAATAGAAAACGTTTCCGCGATTCAGGGATACCAGCAGGTTTTATAGGACGCGACGTTAAGTTTTCCTTTTTGCATGCACCGTCACCTTGCATTTATTTCTCGACTGCGGTTTCGATTTATATGTGCGTCGAGTACACGGAAACATATCTTTTACGATGACAGGACAGGAACTTGTGGCCTACACGTAAAAGAAAAATGAAAATTATTCTATACAATACCTTATAATTTTCTCCTGCACAGAGGGCTTACAGTTTTCATATGATAGAACAGACGTTAGATGAATCGCTTAAACTTATATTTCGGTAAGTACATACTTACAGTTACATAGTTAATACTTACTAAATTAGCACCGTACAGCACAGTACAGTACAATATACTGTATACATACATGTACATTCAACTCGACGACGGTCGTCGCACCATCAACATTTACAATATCGCGTAAAAAAATTCTAAAACGGAATACGAAATGTTCCGACGAATATTAAAAAGAATAGCGAAATTGCCTCGTAAACTTCGTAAGTACTATGATAATGAAAGAGTACAACGACGAATAATAGTATTATCGAGCTATCCCGTAAATTCAAATAAAAGTTCAATTTCAATAAACAAATTTGACTAGACACGACAAGGTTGTTTTTCCAATCGTTCACTCGTCCTACACGTCGTCTCGATCGTCGGTCCAATCGTTCCACATCACGACGATAAGGACGTAAGTACAGGTATCTTCAGCTTCGCGGTTAGTTTTTCGTTTCAGTTCTTACTCTGCCTTCGTTGTTGGTTCTGCATCGTCAGCCTCGCTATCTCTTCACCCAAGGTATCGATGTTATCCTAAAATCAAATCGAGATTAAAAGATTAATCTGCGAGTACTCGAAAATCGGAAACTTAACGCAACGCGCGCGGTTTACCTTCAAAGTAATATTCTTAAACAACGCGTCTTCGAGCACTGCTTGAAGTTTTTGATTGATCTCCAACGATAATTCCAGAGTCATATTCTCGTCGGAGACTCGTTGATTGTAGACCGAGGCCATTATACCTCCGTGTCTTGCCAATTCAGCCTGGAATCAACCAACAAGGACGATCGAGTTGGGATAGTCGGAAAGAAACGGGAGGAGAGAAAAACAGTAAAAACTAGCAATATAGGCGACTATACGCGTACGTACGATCATTTAAATGATCGACGAGCATTCCACGGATACGTATTTTCCTTACTTTATTTAACTACGAACTTACCGCGTTTCTCCTGCTTTTGATATGCTGCTTGCGTAAACAGCGAAAGAAAACCGTAATTCGTAGAACCAATCAAACGAAGAAGAAGAATTCGATTTGTAAGAAGGTAAATGTATTCTACAAATTTTATAAAAAAATCCGTTTACCTTGTATTTATCTCTGTCATTCCCACCCATGGCACCGATATCCTCGTGCAAAATATAATTCTGTATTATTCTTTTCTTTTTCTGTAATTCCTCAACCAAGATCCGAGTATGTTCCTCGAAGAAATCTAGTTTCTCGGCTTTTCTAGCGTTACTCTCCTGTAATTTTATAATACGATCTATCAACGCTTGCTTGGTAGGTTCCGTGGGTGGTCGATTTGAACTGCCACCGCCGTGGTCACCATCAATACTGTTATCGGACAAGGAAGCACCGTTCAAAGTATCTCCTAAAAGAGCGAAAAACAAGCAGAGATATATCACGCGAGAACAGATCGCGGAGGACAGGTTGTACGGGGACCGGTAGAGAGCGATGAGCGAAGAACGGATAAATACCCGTATTCAGCGAAGCGTTCGATCCGGTTCTGGATGCGACACCCAACGACGAATTATTATAAGACGATGATGTCGTTTCGAACGTCTCCAATCTTTTTCGACATTGTTGCAACTCACGGGTCATTTCTTTCATACTTATTCGCTGTTTTCTCTTCAACACAGCATTTTCCCCTTGACAATCCTCCAACTGTCGGGTCAGTTGTTCGGCGGCTTCGGTTCGCTCGGCAAGATGCCTGGCCAAAACTTCGCACTCCTCCGTTCTTCTCTTCCGTTCTTCGGCGACACGCTCTTCCAAGCCGTTCACTTTCACAACGAGCTGATTTATACGTTCGTGTAATGGTCCGTGCTCTCGCTCCAACCGTTTCCCTCTGGCTTCCATGGCTGTGAACTCGGACTGGAGCCGTACATTTTTCTCTGTCAATTTCTGCGTAAAGTTCAACATTTCCGCTTCCTTTTCACGACACGCGGACATATCGGCCTGTAATTCCTCGTTGCTCGCTTGTAAGCGTTGAACCTCAGCCTCGGTCGATGCTAGACATTGATCTTTGCTGAAGCGGGCAGAGAAGAAAACCGAGTAAGAAAACCCGGCGGGAGCAAAGCGCGATGAGAAAAAAGTAAAAGAAAAATACAAGAAAAGGGAAATAAAAAAGGGGCGGGATATCTACCTTCGAAGCTGAACTCTCAGCGTTTCGAGCTCGGATACTTTACCGAGCAACTCGACGATCTCCTTTTGACGCCGTTCCGCTACAATTTTTAGATCGCTCAGACTACTCTCGTAATACGCGCGACTCTTCTCAGCATCCTGTATCTTTAAACTGAGCGTGTTATTTTCTTCGACCAAGAGTTGTTGCCTGTGCTTCAACGTATCCACCTCTTTCTGCAACTGAACCCTCAACATCTCCTTGTCCTCGGTCACGTGCCTCTCCAAAATCAACCGTGCCTGTTGCTCCTTCAATTGCTGATCCAACGTCACCGCTTTGTTTTCTTCGGATTGCTGAAATCTACGCATCGTCTCTTGCGTCTCTCTGCGCACCTGTTCGCATTCCTCCTTCATCTCGTCGATCCTGGCCTGAATCGAACAAACCATACCTACCATTACTATCTCGCTCGCTGGATGTGTAAGCATAAACCGCGGTACGATTTCCTACGTGTCAGCCTCGCTTCGCATTACCGTCGCTCTCTCCAATCTCTGTCGAGTCTCCTTCTGGGCATCCATTTCCGTTCTCAGTTTGTTCTGAGTCCAGTGCAATTTGACGTCTCTCATCTTCACGTCCTCCCTCAATTTTTCAACTTCTTTCTGCAGATCCGTTAACTCGCGATGTTTACCGGTGAGAACGTTGCACATTCTACCGCGTTCCGCTTGCATTTCCCGTAATTTACATCGAAGTCCTTCCTGTTGCGACATCATTTCCTTCAGTTTCCGTTCCGCGTTTTCTTTCGCCCTAGCCAGAAAAAAACAAACAAGCAACAAGTTAAAGGCGAGCCGCGCAGAGTAGCAAGCAGATTAGAGTCTACATGGATCGGACGAACGCGAGAGGTGAAAGATCGGTTCGGTCCGCTCAAACGAAAGATCGCGGTGTTCCCAATTACTAGCTTATTACCTTCGGGTATCAATAAGCTGTTCCTCACTAACGGCGTATCTCATCACCATATTCTCTCTCTCTTTGTTCGCGGCGTGATACTCCTTCTTCAACATTTCTTGCGCTTCCAACGACGAACGTAAATCGAAGGTAAGCTCGTCGATCGTCTTCTCCAGCTTCGCGATCCGCGCGACGAACGCCGCTTCCACGTCGTTCCCATCATCTGTCTTCTTATCGATCATTCTAATGCGTCCCTCTCCCGAACTTTCGATTCTTTCCCGTAATTTCAAGTACTCGGTCTTTAAATCCGCATAATTTCTCAACAAAGACAGATAAGCGGGATGCTGCAACGATTCGTGTTTCCATTGGTGTTCCGAATCGTCCACGACGCTTCCATTTCTCTCCTGCCGCGGTGATCCACGGTGTTCAGTCGTCGATCGATCCGCGATGATTTGACCATTGAAATCGAATTGAACAGAGTCGACGTCCCTGCTGCCATGATCCTCGTTCGTTTCCTGTTCACGATCTTCATCGTACGAACGATTCGTTCCATCAGGGATATCGCTCGTAGGACGATCGAACGCGAATCCCGGTAGATCGCCCGATTCATTAGAATCGTTTTCTTTATTTTCATCCGATACACGGTCCTTTTCGATATTCGTGCACGCGGCTTCATTCGAATTCACCACTGTACCAGTCACTGTTTCACGTTCGTCACCTTCGTTTCGTGGTACCGTCGCGCAAACAGTCTCCGCGTTCGTCGGCGTTCTCGTCGGAGATTCAGTTCTGCCGTCGAGCAGGACCGGTTTCGCATTCATGTCGGAAGATTCTCCGTTATATTCCCTCTTCTTCCGACCGTCCACCCTGTTCCGATCATCGTCATCGACGGTCTTGATCACGGAATTATAATACTTCAACGTCAAATGTTGCGGTAACAATGCCTTTTCCATGATATTTGTAGATTTCTCGGTAATAAAGTTCAAAAAGTTGCGACTCTTGTTCAGAAACGGAGCATTCGATCGCATCATGCCGATCGGATTCGTTGGCAGTGAAATTTTCACCAATCTACTGTCGTCTATCAAATTCGGCCGGGAAATCGCGACGCTCCGCGACTGGCCACTTCCGCCAGTCTCATCAGATCGGACTTTACTTCCTTCGCTGTCGAACAACAACTTTTCGTCGTTCTCGATCACGTCCTTCAAGGCAGTTCGCATTGGACCCACGTTCTCTGTACTCTCCATGCTGCACTTTTCAATCTCATAGTCATTTACACGCCGCCCGTCGTCATCGTCAACGTCGGTTTTTTCCAAGCATTCCATTTCCTTTTTGTTCGCGTAAAATTTCGTACTAAAAACTATTTCTTTCTCGTCATCATTACACACCTCGACGTTCTTCGATTCCATTTCTAATTTACGTGGCTGCGGCATGGTACGTTCCATGTCATAATCAGAAATTATATCCGAAGATGCGTACGACAACTCGGACGAATCCAATGGCTGTAATCGAACATCGTCGTAGGACGACGATTCTTCGAGGGGTCGATCGCCTTTACCCGAAAGAACATCTTCTATCGTCGTGGTCATTTCAAGTTCCGAAAAATTACTGAAAGAACGGGATCCTTTCATAGACGCGGGAATACTGTTTTTATCCATAAATTCCTTGCACTTCCTTTCATTGTCATTCTTTACCGATAATAAGAATAACACCGAATCCGGACCTTCGACCTGATTAATGTCATCGTGGTCTCGTGCGAGTTCTTCTGGAACATCATGCATCCTGTTTCCGCTCTTTACGTTCAGAACTCGAAGTTCGCATCGGCTCGAGACATCGGTAACTGAAAAGATGAAACAAACAATTGGAACAGAAAGATCAAGGAGGAATGAAGCAATCTGGTTCATTGAGCAACAAACAACCAGCAGCAGAAGCAGCTGTCCATCCAAGTTCATCGACACGTACCTTCCGCATGCGAAACGTTTACATTCGCATCGAAAGACGTTTGGACGTTGTTCGTACATTGTTCTCGTTCTTGAGAAGGCGTCGATTCTGAATTATCTTCGTCCATTTCCAATTCGTGTTCACCACGAATTTCTCGCGGTTCAACTCGACCCCATCACGTACATACCGCCGTTACGTTACCAACCAGCGGATAAAAATCGAAGGATGTAGGAACGTTCCCTCGGCAGCCGAAAAAAGCCAGCGATCACTTCGTTCGTCGACATTCGCGACAAAGATATCAATTAAAATCAAGGAAGATAACCTAAAATCCGTGAAAATCTGTGTACATACGGTAACGTCAGTAGTAGACGTATACATACATAAACACATATGCTGTTACGTTATCTTTAGGTTAAGATAATGTGACTGTAACTGTAAATGTTTCCGGCGGGCTTGGAGGGCCTTCTTTAAACATGGGAATAGTGAGAATTTGAGAATGCAAGACAAATTGATGTTCCATATATTTTAAGATTGTTTTAATTTAATGCTGGAAAAATTCAGTCGCGTTGGACAGGAAATAAATTTTTAGGAAATATTCTAAGAATTTCTTTTAAGAGATCGTAACTGCCGTAGCTAATGTGTGTATGCTACGGTGGAACCCCAACTCAACTCGATTCTTATGCTATCTGTTTAAGATCGCCTTAAGCATTTGCTTAAATCCCTGTTTCCTGTACAAGACAGGGTCTGGAAATATGTGCTAGACAGGGATAGTAAATACATAAGACGATCTTAAATATAAGTAACGACAACGACTCTGAATACTGACCAATTACTCTCATAGAATGTACTGTTTCTAAAAGCAATGCGTAGGAAAAACGTGCAGTCAGATAATGTAATATTTTATTTTCAAGATTATTCTTAATAAATATTTCTTAACTTCCGAACATTCGCATTTGGGATTTAATGGTACCTATAAACTGCTATGAACTGAAAACATTCGTACGGTGCTAAACTGCTACTACTAGGAAACTTCTAGTGCGCACGCCCCAAAAATCCCACGATGTGCCCAACACTGCCTACTCCGCCGATTTATCCCTACTTCTGTCTCGGCATTACTGATCTCCGCGAAGGAAGTATTTTAATTTGTAATCGGTTCTCGTGGTGTTTGCGTTATTAACGAGATTAATAGAGCATAAGTAAAAAAGTTTATTAATTTTTACAAACGTATGCTTTTAAATGTAACTTATTACTGTATCGTGTTCGGTTCGATCAAAAGCACGATGTTCCGACGAGAAGATTAAAACCACGTGCTTGGGGAGGCCGACCGTTTTTATGAAAAATGATGTATTAACGTAAGTATTCCGCGAAAACGTAAGTCTTATAGCTCGTATTAATTATTTTCGATAATTCCTGTTCTTGTAGACTGGCCAATTACGTTAAATAACCGGTTTGCCAGAAAATATCAGTTACGAGACAAAGGCTTTTAGTACCATTGTGAAAAGGCATGCTGGTGCAGAATGACGGAATTTGTGGACGGTTGGATATTCGGGCATACCTTAGGAGAAGGGGCTTATGGCGAGTACGTTGAAACTTCTTTTAATTTTTACCCGACTAGATATCAAAATTTTATAAATAGAAAATTAAATTGTTAAATATTTTCGTTAAAAATGTTCATCTTTATTAAATTCAATGTTAATTTTCAGAGTAAAGTTAGTTATAAATAAGTCTACGGGTGAAGCTGTTGCTATGAAAATGATAGATGTACAAAGACATGTTGATGCTAGAAAAACTGTTCATAAAGAAACCACGATTCATCGTATGCTCTCTAATCCTAATGTTATACAGTATTTTGGAAAACGTAGTGAACCCACTATGGAATATATATTTTTAGAATATGCAGCAGGTGGAGAACTTTTTGATAGAATTGGTAAAACATTTTATTCTATACTTTCATTTAAAGTTCATTGAAGACCTCGATGTTATTAATTTTTATTAAAATTCAAAATAGAGCCGGATGTAGGCATGCCAGCATGGGAAGCACAAAAATATTTCAGACAATTAATCTCAGCTGTTGAATATATTCATAGCAAGGGAATTGCACACAGAGATTTGAAGCCGGAAAATTTGCTATTGGATGAAAACGATAATTTAAAAGTTTCCGATTTTGGTTTGGCAACGGTATTCCGTTGCCAAGGCAAAGAACGTTGCTTGGACAGAAGATGTGGGACAGTGCCATACGTCGCTCCAGAAGTATTAGTGCGTCCCTATCATGCTGAACCTGCTGATATATGGTCGTGTGGTATAATTCTTGTTGCTTTACTAGCTGGAGGTAATTTTTTCTAATCAGATTATAACAAAAGATCTTTGTTTCAATTAAAAAATTCCACATAACAGCAATGGGTAGATACGAATAACAATTTATGAGAACAAATATGATTTCAACAAGCCAGTAACATAGGTTGTAATTTTGTTTACATAAACACACGGGCTATCGTCATATTTAGTGTGATTGTTTAGGTCTAATGCAAAACTTGCATTTCTTAGTTTTTAACTGGTCCATATCTAAACTGTAGAACTGCCATGGGATCAGTCCGTGGCAGATTGTGAAGAATATATGGCATGGAGAGATGGAAAGTATATGTCTCTTACTCCATGGAAAAAGTTGGATAACATTTCGTTGTCTCTGATTAAAAATGTTCTAATGCATTCACCGTCAAACAGATATACCGTAAAGGATATCAAACAGCACAGATGGTTCACCAAAAAGTTCCACGAAGGTGTGCATAAATACATAATATTATATTACTTCTAACGCATCCATTATTTTATAAAGCTGTGCAAGATCAAGCGAGTGTTTACTTGGTCAGGTACTGAGTGACTCTGAGTGTGATTACGTAATAAATCACTCAAAGCAACTTGGTACCTAACTGAGTGGATGCTGAATGCAACAAATTATTGCGTTGATACGTGAGTGTGCGAGAGGAATGGAAAATTTTAACCATTGACGATTTTCTCTTACAGGCTCTCAAAGCTTTTGCCTTTACTTTGGTAATACAGCTCTATGATTTTAATTAAGGATCATAAAGCTAGATTACCAAAGCAAAGAGCACTGGCGTATGCAGCTGAATTATTTTATCCTCACGTTATTTTCGTTTTTTAATATAGTTCTGAATATGAAAGTGATTGTACTAAAAAATACACACAAGAACGATAATTAATACATTACTTTTTATGGTAGGTAATGAATATGTTCGACCGGATGAAATCGATTCAAGACATGGATTGGAAGACGAGAACTTAACAAGATACTGCTTATCTCAACCCGAATTACCCACGGTAGAAAGTGCTAGTGCCGTGGGAATTAATTTGGAAGAACGGCCTGGATTCTCATTCTCACAACCCGCGCATTTAGAAGACTTGTTGCTGTCTACGCAAGTGCAAAATAAACAATTTACTCAAAGCCAGGTATTTTATTATATTATTGTTGTTGCCGATCCGGCAAAATAATTAGGAATCTATATTCGGTATTTAATTCACAGCAGAACACATTCCAACGATTGGTACGGCGAATGACAAGATTCTTCGTTAAGACGTCATTGGAAGAAACCGTGAATAGATTAACAGAGTGTATAAAACACGAAAGTTATACTTATCGCATCAATAACGTTGGCACGGTATGTTATTAAATTATTCAAGCGGCAAATTTTTTTATGAGAACGACCGAAGTTGTACGTGACTAACATGTTACATGATTATTCGCAGATTACTATACAAACTGTAGATAGAAGAAAGATGCCTTTGTTCTTTAAAGCTAACATTGTTGAAATGGATGGGAAAATACTAGTAGATTTTCGATTGTCCAAAGGCTGTGGTTTAGAGTTCAAACGGAAATTTGTTAAAATCAAATCGTTTTTAGAAGACATTATATTAAAGGGTCCTGTCACGTGGCCTATCGCTGTAGCCACGGAATGTATACCTTAATGTTGCATGAAATTAATTTTTGAATAAACTTTTTATATTCTTTTACAAAGAAAGCTTCCTTTTTCTTCGTATGTCCAATACAAATCCAAAATTCCTAAGTAGTAATTAGGTCTCCAGTACAATAGAAATAGTAAAGAACACGTGACTTATTATAACGATAATAATGATTTTATCCTCTCTTCAATAATTCATAACTCGTCGTATTTTCGTATGAACATTCCATAACCTCCATTCATTTCAATGCTACTGAAATGCTCGTGATTTTACAGTTTATGCTATTTACAATTACTAGTCTAATAGTATTTGGATTCTCAAGTTATCTTAGTTTTACGGATGGTCTTTCATATCTTTTTGATATCTATAAACAGTGGCTCTTCACTGAAATCGATCATATTCAATTGTACGATTTCATCATCGGTAAGAAATATACGTAAACTTATTTTTGTATCTAACGGAGACATATCTTATTTTTTATTCTTGTCACACAGTTGGGGCCGGGACAGCTGGTGCGACTGCAGCCATAAAACTAACAGAATATGGACATAAAGTATTATTACTCGAAGCCGGTGGAGTTGCTCCACCGTTTTTAGATATACCACTTTTAGCTCCCCTGATTCAAAACACTCCATACGACTGGAAATATGTTACTGTACCCCAACAGCATGCTTGCAAAGGTTTAAAGAACAATGTACGACACTCACTTAATTATAGAATAATAAAGATCATTTAATAGGATGCGTGGTAATAAGAATTTATTTATAGCAAAGCAAATGGCCAATGGGTAAAATTCTTGGTGGAACTGATAGAATAAATTATATGCTTCACGTACGTGGGCATCCTTCAGATTATGATTGGCTTCCAGATTATATTCGTAAGTCTAATCATTTATTCTAATGCTACTATCGATACGAGGTCAAAAATACTTGTAGGAGACACTAGAACAAATCATGAATCCATGCACATAAGCAATTTAACATGGGACACTGGATTTGCTGACGTAATTTTAAAAGGACTGGAAGAGTTGGATCACGACATTGGCAATATTAATGAGGACTTAAAAACTGGTACATATAACAATGAAGTAAAAGGCTATCATTATTTTATCATTCTACCTATTCAGGTTTTATGAAAGTACAATTATCCACGAAGAATGGGAAACGGTGGTGTGGTGACAAATTGTTGTACAAATACTTGAAAGACAAATTGACTATCTTCACTCATGCTCACGTTGAAAAAGTATATACAGTGTTAAATGTATAGAGACCTTGATTTTCAGAATCAATAGCAAGTATAGTACTACTAATTATTTTAAAGGTGTTGATGGAGTCAAGTAGAGCGATCGGGGTACAATTTCTTGCATTGAATAAAAAGTTTAAAGCTTTCGCAAAAGAAGGTGTTGTTTTAAGTGCTGGTACAATTGGTACTCCAAAGATATTAATGTTGTCTGGTATTGGACCGAAGGAACACTTGGAAGATATGAAGGTAAAATTTTATAAGTCAGGATTGTTGCATTTATTAATTGCCAGTAATAATATAACAATTTATGTAACTTTAAGATCAATGTAATAAACGATTTACCAGTTGGTAAACATCTCGTAGATCATCTCCTCACTGGGATTGATCTGGTTATGCTTAACACGAGTATTGGTCTCAGTGTAATTAATGCTTTCAGTCCCTTATCAGTATTAGATTACTTTCTTTTTGGAGAAGGTAATTTAACAAATAATTGATTTTAAAATGACTGTCTTTTAATCGGTACAAATTATATCATATTTGCAAATAACATTTTTCGAGGTCCGTGGACATACACAGGAGTTGAAGTATTGGGAACGTTCCACAGTAATTTTCAAAAAAATAAATCAAGTGCACCAGATTTACAAATAATGGTGATGCCACTTGGCTTATCACGGGACAATGGTATCGTTCTAAAAGAAACTATGGGAATCACCGATGAGGTATATAACAAACAACTTTACAAGTAAACGAATATTGTATATTACTAATATAATTTAAGTTAGTAATTCTTCGTAGGTTTATAATGAATATTTTGCTCCTAATTCGTATAAAAATACAGTAACAATCGCTCCTGTTTTGTTACATCCGAAAAGCGAAGGAGAAATTAAATTATTTAGTAGCGATCCGTCACATCCACCTCTAATCGATCCGAGATATTTATCAAATGAGG